TTAAAACATATAAATTGTTTAAGTGCTCATTTCTAAAATAAATCTTATTAAAAAATAAAAAATTGTTTTGTTTTTATAAACGATGGCATTATATATGACTATGAAAGTCTCTTTAACAAATTTAAATATAAGAATGATTAAAGTTAATGCATTAAAAAAGGTAAACAAAATTTCGTTAAAAAAAAAAAGTTTTTAGAAAACCGTTATAATTTTATAAGTTTGATCTTAAATGCTTTTATATTATCGAAGCGCTTTTAATGAAGTAAAAAAAAAAACACTTCTAATTAATTTAAAAAGTATTTATAAAATATTTTTTTATTTTATTTATATAACTATGTATTTTTTTATGAGAAATATTTAACTTTTGAAAATATTAAATAAATAAAAAATATATAAAAATGTTGAAACAAAGATTGAAAAGGTTTTTTAATGCGTAAATTAAATAGACTAAGCATTTTAGTTTGATGAGTTTTGTTTTAGTTGCGTTATATATATATATATATATATATATATATATATATATATATATATATATATATAATATATATATATATATATATATATATATATATATATATATATATATATACATATATTTTTTTTTGTTTTTTTTTGTTTTTGCTTTAACTAGGTATTTTTTTAATTTTCTCTTTCGTTAATATTTATTATTTTTTTTAATTTTTTTTTTTTCAGATAACTTTACGTAAGTTTTTGTAGCGCGTTTTTAAATTTTAAAAATATGCCGTGGTCAAATTGCTAAAACATTTTTTTTTTGCGTGGTCATATAAAGACGTGAAATCGCATGTCTTCCTGTGAAAGCCTGATATATATATATATATATATATATATATATATATATATATATATATATATATATATATATATATATATATGTATATATATATACACTGTATATATATTTATATATATATATATATATATATATATATATATATATATATACACTATATACACTATATATATATATATATATATATATATATATATATATATATATATATATATATATATATATATATATATATATATGTCAGACCTTGTTTATAACAAATAACAAATGCTTAATGCATCAGCTTAATGTGAATTTAAACGTCATAAAATTCTCTTTATCTTTTTATTTTTTAAAAACATTAATTTTTTTGAATTACTGTAATAATATTAAGATTACTTAAATATTGTTAAACTCGTTTTTTATTAATACAAAATGTTTATTCCTTTCATTTTTTTTATATCAAATAATTAATCTTGATATTAGATTAAAAAAATTTTTTCATGTAAAAAATTATTTTACTTAACATTTGTATAAATGAATTAAAATGTTAATTAAAAAAAAAAATTTAACATTTTTTAATCATTAAAAAAAAGTTTATTTGCATATTTTTTTTAATCATTAAAAAAAAATTACGACTAAAAAAGATTTTTTATTTTTAAAAAATTAGCAAGTAACATAAAAAAATTATGTTAATTTCTCTACTTTTTTTATTAAAAGTTAATTATTTTATAAACAATTTTCCAAACAACATTTATTAAAAAATAATCGCTGCAATTTAACTTGCCATATATAAAAAAAAAAGTTTAACTTACATTTTCTCCAAATTTTTGATGCAGTTATTTAAAATTTAATTTTGAGTAATAAAAAAATATTTTGGAAGAAAAACCGAAAAAACAATTGCAATAAAAATGAGCTAATTTTCTTTTAAAAACAAACTAAGTTCAAATATTTAGTATAATAATATTCAGTAATATTTAAAAACAAATATATGACAGTTAAGTTGAACCCAAGCATTGATTTTAATTTAAATAAACTTAAATATATTTTTAAAATATTTTTTAATTATATATTTTTAAATCTAAATTAAATATATTTTTTTTTATCAGAATAAAATTATATATAGGGTGGGCACAGAAAAATCCGGTCAACTTTAAATTTTGATTTCTCCAAAACCACAAATGCTTTTTATTTAATTTTTTTTTAATTAAACCTTACATCCTTATCTTAAATGGTGTTGATAAATTTTTATTTACAAATTAATGATTTACGAAATGTTTTGGAAACATATTTAGCTGCGTAAAAAAGATGTGAATTTTTTTTGCAAAAATCCATCGACTTCCTATCGCTTGATTGCTAAATGCACTAATGTCCCAAAATCTACAGTTATAGATATTATAAACAAGTTCAAGACTACTCAAAGCTTTGAAAGAAAACTTGGAAGTGGAAGAAAAAAAACTTTCCATAAATCAAAAAAAGGTAAAGTCGATTTTACGTTCAATAGCAAGAAATCCAAACCAGTCACAGCGAGATCTAGCAATAAAATTCTTCTCGTTCTTATATCAAAGAATTCTTCTTATTCTAGATCAGCGAGATCTAGCAATAAAAAACTTCTCGTTCTTATATCAAAAAAGTACTTAAAAATGCTGGAATTAAAGCATTTCATAAAAAAATACACCTAAGAGCTTAAATTGTGAAATTAAAGAAACTCAACGCGCAAAGAAATTGGTTAAAATAATGGCGGATAAAAGTATATGCATAATTGAAGACAACGAAACGTATTGCAAGGCGGATTTTTCACAACTTCCTGGTCAACAGTTTTACTATGAAAACAAAGATAAACCTGTTGATGATCAATTTAAAAATATTCGACGAGAAAAATTTGCCGCAAAAGTTCCTTGTGTGGCAAGCAATTTGTAGCTGTGGTAGGCAGTCCTCTTGTTTTGTCTTTAAAAAGACCTTGACTGCCAATTTCTACATCAAAAAGTGCCTCCAAAAGAGACTTTTGCCTTTTGTAAAAAAACACAAATACCGATGTCTCTTTTGGCCCGATCTTGCTGCCTCTCACTATTCTAAAAAAGTTCTACAGTGGTGCAAAGATAATAATGTGAAAATTGTTCCTAAAGATGCGAATCCTCCAAATCGTCCTGAAGAGAAGATCAAGATTGAAGATCATTGGGCAATAGTTAAAGGAGTTCTTCGCAAGACAGGTGGAGTAACAAATAATAAAAAGGACTTCCAAAAAAAGTAGATTAATGCCACCAATATGGTGAAAAAAGAAAAAATCTGTGAAATGATGGCATCAACCCGCTATAAAGTTCGATTTCTTGCCAAACAACCCATCAAGCCCCTTAAAATTAATAAATTAAAGTTGAAACTTTAATTTATGTAAACACATTTAATAATAAAAAAATTGAAATAAAAAGCATTTATGGTTTTAGAGAAATTTCAATACAAAGTTGACCGGATTTTTCCGTGTCCACCCGATATTTTTGTTAAATTAGTTTTGAATTAAATCATTTATTTTTTTATCAGAAATAAATTACATAATAATTATCTTTAATTGAAGTTTAAAGCATTAGCATTTTTTAAGCAAAATAATCGATCATTGCAAAAAATTAAGTAGAAATTATTTATTACTATAGAAATAGAAATTTAAGTAAATTTTTTTATTGCAATCAAAAGTTGCATAAACAATTCTTGTCCTCTCAAGATGATAAATAAAAGTTTTTATTATATATATTTCTTTTATGTTTTATTTTATTTTTTTAATAACTTCGGATAAAAAAAATAAAAAAATAATCGTTACTATAAACAATTTTGTTTTCTGTTTGATAAAATAATTAACTTAATAGAGATTAAGTTTTTGTAGTTTTTAATTTTTTTCATTAGTAAATAACACTTTTAGTTTTTTTTCATTAATAAATAGCGCTTACATCTAACATAATTGTCATTCAAACTTTTTTACATAATCGTCAGAGTGGTTTTTTATAAAATTAATTACTTCTTTTATCTTACTGCTTAAAGAGTAATTTAAAAGTTAAAAAAATATCAAAAGTTGCTTCATGCAAATTGCTCTAGACGTACGCAATTCGTACGTAAAATGCCTTCAGCTTAACGCTTTAAAACAAACTCTGATATATATATATATATATATATATATATATATATATATATATATATGTATATATATATGTATATATATATATATGTATATATATATATGTATATATATATATATATATATATATATATATATATATATATATATATATATATATATATATATATATATATATATATTTATCGGGGACATTTTTGTGTACCTGTTAATTTTTTGTCCCCGTTAGCATCGTTTTTTTGTAAAAAAAATGTCTTTGTGAACAACTTTTATAGAGAGTGAAAAGTACATAAATCGACTATCAAATAGCCTGACTCGCAAGAGTGTGCTGCACATCTACTGAGGGTTTGATTTGGGTCAGCATCAAGCTCAGGCTTAGGGTTAGGATTATGGCAAGGTTTAAATAGGGTTATATTACTGTAATTAATTGTTTTTGTAAAAAGATGAAAATAAAAATGAAATATAATATACAATAAGTTTATAAAAATAACAAAAATAAATATAATAAATATATTTTTATAATAAAATAATAAATTTAAATATGTTTAAATAAAAATAAAAATAAAATAAAAATTAAAATAAATATATAAATATGATAAAAATAGTATTAAAATTAAAAAAAAAAAAAATCAGAAACAAAAAAAACATGTCTCTGTAAATACCAACTAAGAATATATATATATATATATATATATATATATATATATATATATATATATATATATATATATATATATATATATATATATATATATATATATATATATATATATATATATAAATATATATATATACATACATACATACATACATACATATATACATATATATATATATATATATATATATATATATATATATATATATATATATATATATATATATATATATATATATATATATATATATATATATATATATATATATATATATATATATATATATATATATATATATATATATATATATATATATATATATATATATATATATATATATATATATATATATATATATATATATATATATACATATATATATATATATAATTTAATATAATAAAATTAATTTTTCTTTTGTCACGGGTAGTCCCTATGAAGTTGTTCTTCCAATTACGGAACCAATTGTTGAAGAAGTTACTGCTGTATTAGCTGAATGGGTTAAAATCTGGAAAGATTTTTATTTAGTAAGTTTTCTTTTTTTTTTAATTTCAAGAAATTAACAGTAACAGCCATTCTAAATTATGTAAAAAAAAAAATTATAAGAAAAATTTAAATGTTATTTGAAAAAAAAACGAAAATTTCCTTATTTTAATAAACTTATACTTATAAGAAAATAAACATTAGACATTATCGTTTTATGTTTGTTTTCTCACAATTAAGTTGTTTGTTTTTTTAAATGAGGAGGCAATTGTATACATTTCTGTAGGAAAGAAAAAATAAAATGTCAAAATCATGTCTTTTTTATGTCAAAACGTCAAAACTCTACTTTGAAATAACTTATAATTACCCATCTATTTAATCTACATTGAGGTCAATAAAACAAAGTTGTTGAAAAATAAACTTTCCTAATGTGATTGAGTTGAACTTTAAATTACTTACTGAGAGTTTGATTAGAACTTTAAACCATTTACTAAGGATGGGGGGTTGATCTTCAAACGTTGCAAAGCAATATTACTATGCCCAAATATTAAAAAAAGATCAAACACTAAAGTATAGATAAGAATTACATTGATAAGAATACACATTGCAAAAAAGGTTATTAAAAAATTTTATTTAAGTATCTTTTTATTTTTTTATTTTTCTTTTTTAGTAATTTTGTAAGCATTTTTTTTTAGGAAAGAAAGTTCAATATGTTTACTATGTTAAGAAAAGCTATGCATCTGCTTATGGAGTATAGGAGGGAAATTATTTGTGGAAAATTAACAAAGGTAACATCTATTAATACTAAACAAATATTTTAGTTTTTAAATATATTGTTTAGATAAACTTATTTTTTCTAAAGGAGCAACAGCATGAGGTGAAATCTCAAATTACAAATCAAATTGATCTGGTTAACAGGTAAGTTTTTATTACAACCTCATTAAGTATATATTATATGCACTACATCAACCCAAAATTAGTGTATGTTTTATAAACTACAACTTTAGGCATATATTTAATACACTACAACTATAAACTAAGTGCTTTGTATGACCTAACGCTACACAAGTTGAATATGATTTTGTCTTTTGGTAGTTTTGTTGCCAAAAGATTTAGGTTAATCTTTTATGCTCTTTTGTGATTATGTGTTTTATGCTTCTATCTTTTTAGACTTTTTGATTGAAATCCTTTTGAGATAATTGTATATTTTCTTAGCTTGAAATTTTTTTTTGATGGTTAATTTTAAATCTTTTTAAAAAATGGTTCTTGTAATATTTATATTATACTCAGATATATTTATTTTTAGTAAACTTGGTTAAGATTTATATTATACTCATATATATTTTTTTAGTAAACTTGGTTTGGATTTAGTTCCTCGAATTGATGGAGATATAGTTGATTCAGATTCAAAAAGTGTCATAGAGTTTTATGCTATACATGTGAAGTGCGCTGATATGATAGCCGAAATGCAAAATACTCAAATTTCTATGCCATCAAGAAGTTTATCAAAAACATCGACAATAAAAAAAATTGCTCACAATGGAAGTCTAGTTGCTCATATTTATTTTACATATAAAAATTTAAATTTTAATATTTCTGATGCAGCTTTTTTAATGTTTGGTCTTTATGAACCAGCTACAAGTACTTATATTAGGTAATATTGTATAATCTTTAATTTTAATTTAATCAGCAGATTTATATCTTACATCTGATAATTAAATTGTTTTAAAATAATTTCTGTTTTCATATACAATTATTCTAACTAATGGTATAGTTTAAAAGAAATCTTGTGGTTTATTTAAATGCATACAATAATAAATGTTATATTATTTTTTTAGATATAATATATTAAACAGTATTTTTCTTCATTATTTTTAGTGAAATTTTTATGGTAAAACTGAAGTTTGGTATGCCAATTAATGTTGAGTTTCTTGGAAAAGACCATGCAATATTTTCAGTTAGTTTAATTCAAATCTTTAAAAAGTGTGTTTTTGACTTTATATTATTTTATGATCATTTATCTATTTTTTTAAGGAAGTAAAATCTGCAGACCTTCTTAAAGATATTTACTTGGTTTGTAAAATATATAGAGAAGGTATTAATACTAAATTTGATATATATATATACATTTTTTTATGCAATTGTTTTGTTCATTGAAACTTTTGTTAAAAGATTGACAAAAGGTGTTAACAATTAAAAAAAAAGAAAAAAAGAAGTAGGTCCTTGCCTGACAGTAGGGACCTGTCCATGGACTTAGAGAGATGAACTAAAAACAAAACAAACTGTTCTATTATACCTAGTGTTTTTTTAAACAGGATAAAACTTATGACAACACAAAAAGTTTAATTATAATAAATTTTTTATAAATTTTTAATCAACACACAACATAAACATTTTAAAACAGTTTTTGACATCTACAACTGTTGCAACTACAACTAAAGTATTATTTTTGACTTTTCCTTTACTTTAATTAATTTAAGTACTTTAATTGTCAAATTTTACTTTGTTGTATTACTTAAAAAATAATATAACATCAACTTACTTTCTGTAAGTTAATATTTGCAGTTGATGTTTGTTGCATCATTTTATTTTCAGTAAGTTGATGTTTGCAGTTAATGTTATTACGTCATTTAGCAACAATGTGGTACCAAATCACAGTTTGACAAAATTTGTTTATAGGTTGAATGAGTTAATGAATGATTTTTAAAGTAAATTTGGATAATATGGTAACATAGTTTAAATGTGAATCTATTGTGATGATTTGAGTAAAGCAAGTCAATAGGCGATCATAGTATAACAACTTGTTTGACAGTTAATGTATTCATAAGTTTTGATTGGGCCAAAACCACTCTGAAAAAAATACATTATAGTATTTTTTTTTTTTAGGAAAATTGGTTGCTGATTCAAAAAAAGCTTCTAATGCAATATACAGAAGACCATTTGGCGTCGGAGGTTGTTAAAAATATATATATTTTTTATTATATCTTTGCATAATGTTCATTGTTCCATATACAATTGCAAATGTTCATTGTTTTAAAAAAAGGGAATTGTGGGGGCTCAGTAGCCATTGATTAAATCAAATGAAAAAAAAAATCAATTAAATCAATAATTTTTTCATCTGAATCCCAATAATTTTTTAAATTTTTTAATGGTTTTTATAGTTTTTAAATTTTAATTTCAATTTTTATAGATTTTCAATTTCAATGTAGCTAAATACATTAGCAACTGTGTACACCTATATGGACTGTACCTATTCATGTACAAATAAAAGTATTTTTATTTGCACATTAGGACATTTCCCATTAATAGACAATATTGTAAAAAAAAAAAGATAGATATCTGTAAAAAATTTCAACTTGAAATGTAACAGCATTTGTAATAGGTCATTAAGTCATTAGTTTTTCATACCAAGTAGTATGATTTAAATTAAGCCATTATCTCCATACTAATTAAATACATGTTGTCAGACTCTGAAACAGTATACATTTAAGAGCTTTAACATGATAATAATCTAGTTCTTATTTTTCTAAGAAGGAGTAGAAGCCTATGAATACATTATTTATGATGACTAAGAAGGAGTAGGAGCCTATGAATAAATGATTAAAATTCTAAAACATTTAATTTTAATTTAAATTATTTTACATAATTTTATTTAACTACTACTGAGTAACTACTCTCATTATTGTGACAACTAACTGTTTTAAATTTTAAATTCAAAGATGGCAGCTTATGTTGAAAATGTGACTGAATTGAGGACTGAACTTATGAATTGAGGACTGAACTGTTCAAATAGTGAAATACTTAAAATCAAAAACTTAATAATGACACGCTTTTCAAACTGCTTGTGGAAAAGTTATTATTGTACCACAAAATGTATGCTGGAACACTCAAGCTGAATATTTGGAAGTGTACATTAACAAAAACTTTTAAGTTTTTGTGATAGTGAAATAAAATATCTATTAGATAAAAACATTGCTAAAAATATCATGGATACAAACCTCAAACATATTGTGAAAGAAATGCTGAAAATTTTAAATCATGTTTCTGTTGCATTAGGTAAAGTTCAAAATGATAAATGTGACATTGATGAAGCAACAGAAGCGTGGAAAACCCTGAAAATGAAGTTGCAGTCTGAATTTTCTAGCCTATACCATAAACATGTATCTGTAAGAATGTTGAGGAGCAAATGAATCAAATATTGACTTCTGCACATTATCTTGCTAATGTGCTGCATTCAGTTTACAAAGGGAATACTTAACCTCTAATGAAGAAAATTATGCTATGGAATGGGCCCACAATAAATTTCTAAGTAGCATATGATTGATAATGAGATACAAAGCCAACCTGCCACCTTTTCTTTCATACATGTTTTTAAATATCTCTACAGAACTTGGTCCACTTTAAAATTTATTTATTAATTATTAATAAATTCCATAAATTGTGTTATGCTACATTTTGATTTAATTTTATCATTTCTTTAAATTTATATACAGTGTAAATAATTTACAAATTTTAATAAAAGCCATTTTATGATGTGTTTTTCATTATGATTCACAAAAAAAAAAACATGATTTTTTTGATTTTTCGTATATTAAGTTTTTATTTTGAATTATTTATTTTAGTTAGTTACAATTTTATAATATAAGAGTTATTTATCTTACTAAAAAAATTTATATCAAATTTAATATTAAATATTAAATATATTATATATTGCATATTATATTAAATAAAAATACATTGCATATTAAAAAATTTAGTATTGGAGTTAACTGGCTTGCTAAGTGAAGAGTTTGAAGATGAAAGGGAATCTGCTATTCAAATCTTTAAGTTAGCTTGTTATTAATATTTTTATAAATTTGTTAAAATTAAATTGTGTTCCATTTTTATTCATTTTTAAAATTTATCAATCTTTTATTTTCTTTAAATTTTCTTCAAAATGTTTTTTTGATCAAGTACTGTTCAGTAATAAAAATCCTAATGTTTAAAACAAGTAAAAAAGTCATATTTATGATGATCATTGTTCTTTTTAACAAAAGCTTTTTTTTTTATGCTTTAGTTGCAGTGAAGCAGATTTTCATATGGCTGAAGAATGTATTATCAAAAAACAAGCAGGAAAGTTTAACACATTTGGTTCAAGCCATTACAGTAATTTTTTTATTCTTTTCTTTTCTTCCTTTTTTTTTTTTTAGCAAATTTAAATTTAAAATTTTTTTAAATTAAACATTTTTATTTATTCTTATTTAAAAAAAAAAAGTTTTATTTTATTAAAAAAACAAAAACTTATGTGAATTTTTTTTTTTTTTTTTTAATATTATTGATAACAGAATACTAAATCTAAAAATTCAAAATTTTTTTTTTTTAATATAGACTAATATTGATGATAATAAAGATTGTTGGCTATTTTCAAAAACTTATGAACATTTTTTTAAAAAATACAATTTTTGAAAAACGCTTTAAAAATAATATCTGCTGTTACTTTTCTCAAAACGCTTTACCAGTTGACTTTGGAAAAGTCAAATTTTGAAAGTTGTAAAAGTTATTTATTGTTTTATTATAACAATTATAATTACTGTTAAAATATCAAAATTGTAATAATACATTTTATATAATTATAACTTATTTAATTGTTTGAAGTTTTATCAATATTACTAATTATTTTATTTATATGGAAAATTTTCATATTATGTTTTTGAAGACTACAAAATGTTAATTTGTTAAAATCTGTAAAAAAAAAAAAATAAAACTGAAATCAAAAGTAAGTATTAGTTACAGCAATATAAAATTAAAAATTTTTAGATATAAAATAAATCAGAACACAAATAAAGTAATAATATAAAAAGAGAAAAACAAGCAACCTGGAAATTTATATGCATGCAAGACGTTTTATGAAGTTTGAGAATTGTTAAACATAAAAAAATCTATTTTATTAGGGGACATTAAAGTACTAAGTGATAGACCTAATTTTTTGGATTGGATCAATCCCAGCTTTTAATTCTCTCATAGTAAATTATAAAGTTGAAATATTTTCTTTTTACTTTTTGGATAAAATTAATGCTATAATAACAGGGCTATTATAGTCCCAATAAAAAAATATGTCATAAGAACCACATTTGAACTCCATTTTGGTGATGTTTTTCATATATAAACGAGTAGAAAATTTTTTTAGCTCAGTATATACTGAGCTATTTAGTTCTTTTAGCACAAAAGTGTTTGTAGTAATAATAAAAGCTCACTTAGTTGCAACTGCAGTTTTAAAGACTTATTACAACTTTAAATTAAATTTAAAATTACCTGTATAACTTTAATTGTTGTATTTCATTTCACTGCTTCCACTCTTTGAATAAAAATCATTGAAATCATACAGGTGACTTAGTTTCAGCTTTTCTATCAAAAGGTGGAATGAGTCACAACTCATAAATATCTTTCCAAATATTTCAATTGAATTTTTTTGTTGCAATTTCGTTGCCATTAATTAAATATATCAGAAAAATTGCTAAACTCTAACTCTTGTTTTGAGCGGAAAAAAATTAGCTCTTCTTTGCACTACCCAGCAATCTCTTAATGCCTAACAATTGTAAATACACTTTTTTTCTTTTTTCAAATAGACTTCATTGTTTTATTGTATATAGTTAATTGTTGACAAAGTTGTGTTTTTTTTATGTTTTCCATTTTTGATAGCATAATTATTTTTTCCATATCTACAGTTGCTATTGATTCTTGTGTATTAACAGTTCAATCAATTGAATCTTGTTTACTAACAGTTCAACCAACTGAATCTTGTAACAGTTCAATCTTGTGTATTAACATTTCAATCAAGTTCAATCTTGTGTATTAACATTTCAATCAAGTTCAAATTGACATAAAATAATTGACATAAAATAACTTATTTTATTTCAAACTGTAAATAATGATTTCTAGTATATCAGAAAAAAAAAGCCAATTTTTTTTCTGATACTTTTCGAAATTAATTATCAAATGTTTGAATTAAAAATCTCTTTTAAAACTGTAAAATTTAAAATATATATCAAAAAGTGTTTTTCTTGAAATACATCAAAAGCATCTTAAGGTGTTTTGAAAAATGGCTGTAGAGTAGATACTCATGGTTAAAAAAGTATTTCTTCTTTAAGTGTTCCAATTTTGACAACTCTCCTTACATATTTATACAACTCAAGTTTGTATGAATTATTATTGTAAGATATTGTAAGGATTTGTAATAATGATAGTAATTATGCAACTTCAGACAGTTTAATTGTTCAAGTCTCCTTAAAAATATGTTAAAAAATAAGTTTGTATAAATATGTAAGGATATTGTATGCCAGCATTTAAATAAACAGCAAACATATATACATATATAGATATATATCCATATTATATGCCAGTATTTAATAAATAGTAAATATATGTAAAAATTTATTATCTATGTTTTATATTTTTTTTCCAGCCCCAGCTATCAACCTCTGTTAAATCTTATAATTTTGTGAAAAGTTGTAAAAATGAATTGTATAAAAAGCTCCATATTTAGCCAGGGCTAGGGCCTGAACCTAAGTCACTTAATAGCCATGGGTATTATTATTGCTATATTAGTAACTCAAGTAACATTGGTAAGGTAGGAAAATGCTTTTCTTTGGTGCTCTGTAAACTGTTAAGTCTTCTTGGACTGGCTATATTATTAAAAAAATATCATTAAGAAGTTTTTAAAGATTAAAATCAAGTTAAAGTAAAAAGTTTCATTTATTATTATGTCTATAATTTTTTAGGTGTTTTTATTGGGTTGAAGAAAATATTTTGTGACGTAGAAAAGGTTAGTAATTTTTTATTTTTCTGGTTTTTTGTATTATTTAAGGAACTCCATCCAAATCGATTTTATTTAGTTGTTAAAGTTTGCTTTTTTTAACAATCATACATTGCCTGACTAAAATCTTGGATTGTCTTATTGAATCATGAAATCAATCAACATTTAACATTTTTGTGACTTTATTGGAATACCAAGTTTTAATCAGATAATGTTTGACTTTTAAAATGTGCCCTGAATTGATGTCTCCTATAATTATAAGAAGCTTTTACATAATTGAAACCCCAAAGTTGTATAGCCCAAAGTTGTATAGCCCTCATTTCAATAACTTTTTTTAAACTAATGAATTATAATCTGAGTAATAACTATTGAAAAATAAACTTAGAACTTAGACTTCTTAGCCTTGGTGAAGGTTACTGATCATTAATCACTGATTATTGATCACAGTATTCAATTATGGAATAATTATGGAATAATTATGGAATATTATATTTCATTGATCAACAATCAGCAATTATTGCACATCTGATTTAAACCAAGTTTTACTTTAGTTAACAAAAAAAAAAAACTTTTTTTTTTTTTGGTTTATACTCCTAATTGTTTCTTGCAATATCCAATGATATTAAAAATCAAATAAAAAATATAGTTCTCAAATTTTGGGTGACATGATTTATTAAGTTATATTTTGGGTGATAAGAATAAGAAAGTTATATTTTAGGTGATTTAAAAATCAAGTTTTGGATGATGAGCTTAACCTTCTAACCATTAATGACCTATATATATGTAAGGAAAAACTTTCAAAAAATGATGAAGATCTATGTTTACACAAATATTTGTTTAAAGCAGTGTGATACTTAAAATACCAAGTTTTGTAGCATGCAACCAATCATATTATTTAGTTATTATTCCAAATTTTTAAGCTTGTAATTGATATTTTTCTGTTAACATAACTGATTCAGTTTAAATTTTACTAAGCACTTTTTTAAAATGGCATGTTTTAAAAAAATAACCTTGTAATGTTTAACTGAATTTAACAAAGGATTTTTTAAGATTTTTAACCTAATTTGATTTTATGCTTGAAAGTTAAATCTCAGATTTGAGTGGTAGTGACAAATATCACAGATATCTCTTCTGAAGAAGATAATGAAGATATAATAATTGCTTCAGTTGTTCAGATCGTACCCAAGAGAGAGTTACCGTGTTAAAAAATGATATTAAAAAGTTTTCATTCATTTAGGAAACTTGGCTATAGTTGTTCACACATCATTTACAACAAGCTCTTTACTTTTGACTTATTGCTGATAGAGCAAATTGCTTTTAAATATGGAGCAGAAATGAAGTCCTTTTTTGAGCATTGTGAAGGATGCCCAACACTAGAAAGAAGCCCTTATCAACTTACAGTTACCATTACTTGAGTATTATACCAGCTACTGCACACAAAGATAATACTACAAGTAGATGCATAGAATGTTATAATAAACCAAACAAACCATAAGACAAATTGTGTTACTTTGAGTCACATTGTATTGCATTGTATTATAACATTGTATTAAGATATTGATTAAAAAGTATTAAGTCCATTTAATTAAAAATAGAATTAATTTTTATGTAATTTAGAGTTGAGTCTGATTTTTTAATTAACTTTACCTTACTTAACTTTTAAAAAGTACTTTTAAAAGCTCTAGTGTCATGTTAATTCTGAAAAATTAACCTGACACTGGAGCTATTACGCACAAATTAGGTGACATATAAGGGGTTAAGAAAATTTTAAAAAATTATATTTTTGGTGATGTGATTAAAAAATTTATATTTTCCATGATGTGATTTAGAAAATTTAAAAATGATAATTGTTGTTCAAAATATTTAGATAAATGAAAAGATTGGTTCCATCTTGGTCCCAAGGTTAGGATTTCCTGATGTTATTCTTCCAGGTTTGTATTTTATTTTGTATTGTTTCTTATGAAAGTAAGATTGTTAAAAAAAAAGTGTTTTAAGAACTCTAAATCTTTATTATATGTTTGTCACTTATATAGGTTATTCAATATAATATAAAAATGTAAAAAAATCTTTAATTTAATAAATTTGATCTAAAATAGCTAAAATCTGAATGGTAAAAGCACAAGTGAAATTTTTTTTTTTTAACAATTTCACTTCCAACAAGGCTGCAAACAACCACTATCAGAGTTGGAAGTTACTGAAAGAGAAAAAATGAAGTTTATAGAGCAAAATAATGATTGACAGACAACTTAAAAGATTGCAAATTATATTATTTAGGAAAGCAAGATGAAGGAATGAGAGAAAGAGCATCATTTGAAAATCCACCCCAGATATGGCAACAGTATTCCATACAAGGACCAATTTTAGATTTATAGAGATAAAGAATAGAATCCGGAATAAGAAAGTGGTAAGCGCAATAAAGAGATGCAACCTTAGCAGATGCTAATTTTGCAATTGATTTGATGTATGGCTTCCATGAAATATCAGAGTTAAGAGTTAATCCTAGGAGATGAAGGGTAGATGAATCATTGAGTACATTACCATTCATAAATATAGGAAGTTCTAGATTATTATGATAATGACTAGCTGAAAAAAATTGGGTTTTATCTGAGTTAAATTTCACCAGCCATTGAGAGCCTCTTGCTGTAGCAGAATGCCCCCTCTAAGCAATCAGAAAGTGTTGGCTTCTTATCCAGATAAGAATTAATGGTAGCATCATCAGCGAACAATGCCATTTTAGATGTAAATTAAAAAGAGTATAGGGCCAAGAATAGAACATTGAGGAACCCCTGAAGTTACAGGATTAAATAGAATTGATTAAATATTTATTAAATATTATATATATATATATATATATATATATATATATATATATATATATATATATATATATATATATATATATATACAAATAAATTTTTTCTTTATTTTAAACATCTTTCATATAACTGATACGTCTTTAAGTTTCATTTTAAAGTTATTGTTTGTAATAAATATATCACTTATTGTAGGTTACATATTAAATTACAGAAAATCACCAAATATAAAACTTCATTAGAGTCATTCCATGCAGACTGGACCAAGGTCCTACATGGACCCCTCATAAAACTTAGTGGGTTGGTTTATATCAATGAAATGCAACTCCTTAAAATATCAGCATAAAATCTTATGTAGTTCATGAGATATGATAATTTGAAATTTATGATTTTTCCAAAAATAAAAACTTTAGTAGCAAAAACATGTTTTGTTCATACTTTAAAGCTATCTATATTTTAAAAACAAAATTTCAGAAAACCTTATAGTTTTTTTTATTGTATTTTTTTATTGTAACTCTAGACTCACTTTAATAAAACTTTGACATTGAATTTTTAAATGTCACATTTATATCCATAATGGTTACCTAATAAACCTAAGATATTGTTTGCAATTATAACGCTTTACACAACATTGAATACTTCTCCTTACATGATGTGTCTGGTTTTATGTCTGATGTATGAAGTGCCTTTATGGCCAATCACACCACTAAACATACACATATAAATCCTGTAACATTTTAGTTTTTAATAATAGACAGTAAAAGACTGTATATAAAACTTATAAGTAGCTAGGTAAAAATGAAAAGAAAGACTTTTAGTCTAATTTACCTAATATTTAATACCATGACTATAAGTTTTGTAACTTTTTTTCCAATTCATTTACTGTTCTACCCCTCCCCATTAATTTGACTCATTTGGGCAAATTTCTGTTCTGATTTTGTAACTTTTTCTGAAATCACTCTAATAAAGTCTATTAAGTCTATTATTAAAAATGAGAGAAGTACCAGAAAAATCTGTGCGGACATTTTAAATGATATTTGTTTAACTATTGTATTTCGATTTTGGATGTTATATATAGTTTGAAAGAACATATATTAATATTCTTAAATTTCACTTAAGAAAATGTGCGAAGTTTTGTACATAAGAACGCACTCACTTTGCATTTTACACTCGACATCAGCTTTTGCACAGTCTTCAGTTGGATTTTTTTGGTAGCCATTTATTTTTGAAGTCTTTAATGTTTTTGGCTTCTTTTACATTGAACTTTAGTTTTCTTTTGACAAGAGCCCATTATCTTTCAATAGGGCATAAATTGGGACAATGTGGTGGGTTGCAGTGTTTTTTTAACAAATCTACTTTATGTTCTCTGAGCCAGTTTAAAGTTGTTCCAAAGTAGTAACATGATGCTAAATTGGGCCAAAATAATGGGTTACCTATGTGTGTTCTTAAAAACAGCAAAAGACGTTTCTTGAGGCATTCTTTTATGTATATTTTGGTGTTAATTGTTCCTGCAGTCACAAAACAAGAACTTCTTTCACCACATTCACAAATTGTTTGCCAAACTAAGAATTTTGTAGCAAATTTTTGCATTCCAGTCCATTTATAATTGGAATTCAGTTTCTTGCGATTAATTGCTGAATAATATTAGTGTCCTGGAAGAGATCGGAAATATACAGCACAATAAGTTTTATCATCAATAATCAAACAAGATTTTTTGACACATTTTTTTTTATAGAGCTTTGAACAACGAATTGCGACATTTTCTTGCTTTTCTTCACGATGAGCAACTTTTTCTTTTTATAAGGTTTATAGCCACAATTTCTCTTTACTCTTTGTATAGTGGAAGCACTTGTCTTAAATTTATTTGTTAAAGTTCGAACAGAAATTTCCAGTTTTCTGCCTAAGGCGTCTTTCACTTTTTTACCAAAATCTCGTCTAACAAAACATTTTTTTCTTCCACATCCTGATTTTTTTTTGATTGTACCACTGTCCTTAAATTGTTTCACAATGCTCTGTAGACCAGTTTAGTACCGCTGGAGTGGTATGAACGCCCAAAAAAAGTACCAAAAAACTATTTTAATTTTTTAATTTTGTAATGCTTTTTTTTATTTAAAATAGAAAAAAAAATTTCAGTTTTAAATGCAATAGCATGTAAATAATTTTCAGTTTATTTTAGCTACCTCATTTTTCCTTCAGGGCAATAAAATGAATTAAAAAAAATTGCTTTTTTGGCTTTCGGTTTCTAGTTTAAAAAAAATAAATGTCATTACAAAACTTAATTTAAAAAACTTGTTGCAAAATTTTATAACAATCGAATGTAGGGAAAGTAAGAGGATAACCGCCCCCATAAGGTTTGGATTAATGCTATATGAAAATAAAAACGAAATGTGTTTTTTTAACAGTTTATTTCAATAACCACATCATTAAGTATTTTCATTAAGTATATTATTTAAATTGATGCAATTAAGAAAAAAATTAAACGGTTTTTGAAAATGTTGTTACACAAAAATTACACTTAGTGCAAAAATTGGTTTTTGCACTAAGTGTAATTTTTGTGTAATAACATTTTCAAAAACAATTTCTTTACAATTGTCACAGCTCAGATTATTTGCTGACAACCACTAATTAGTGTTGGAAGTTACTGGAAGAGAAAAGATGAAGGTTGTAGAGCAAGATAACGATTAACAGGCGACTTTAAAGATTGCAAATTATATGAATCAGGAAAGCAAGATAAAGGAAGCGAATTCCAAAGAACTGATGTTCGAGAAAAAAAATTGTTTTGCTGATAGATATGGAAGTAATGATTTCGATTGGCAATTGCAGCAGCACAATGTGAGGAAAAAAATGGAGAAGAGTGAGGCTTGACCTGGAATCGTCGAGAGGAAATAAAGGATTCCATGCCAGCCTGAATCCACAAAGTTATGTAAGAAGCACATTTGTCAACAGGGAGACGAAAAATTTCTACCCAGGGGCCATCACGAAGAAAATCACGGAAAGAGTCCCAGTCAGCTTTAAGGTAGTTGTAAGATGTACGATGATAGGGGGATTCTGATGGTAAAGAAGAATGAGATAATAGTTTTAGAGAGACCAAACCATGATCAGAAGCACCTAAGGGTGAGTGTGAAGAAACTGAGCACTGACTAGGATCAGAAACAAGACATAAGTCGAGTAGAGAAGGTAAATGATTTGGGTTGTCTGGAAAGCGAGTTGGAAAGTTGACTATTTGAGTTAGGGATTGAGAAAGACAAAAGTTGTGGGCCTTAATGCCTGCAGAGTCACTGACACTAGAGCCAAGCCATTCAGTGTGATGAACAATAAAGTCACTGACAACAACAACATTGGCTGGATAAAGAATGAGGGCTTGGTCAATATAATCAGAAATAACATCAAGAAGAGTGCAGTCTTGAGATGAAGGAGATCAATGTAGAAAAAAGAGAAAGGTGATAGAGTGAAGTGGTGCTAAACGAAAGCACATAAAAGAGTAGTCTGTGGATTCAAACCTAGTTTCCCGACAAATGGTTGAATTCTTACGTATGTAAATGTCTAGGCCAAGTATGTGACTATTGGAATCTTTACGAATTAAAGGAAGATAACCATCAACACTAAAATCACAAGATGAGACAGCTGAACTCAAATTAGTCTCACAAAGAGCAAGTAGGTCTGGTGAACTTTGCAAGAGATAAGACTCAACAGAAGAAAAGTTACTTCGAAGACCACAAATATTAGTGAATGATAGGTTTAGCGAACTTGGTGATGACTGTGGTTTTTTGTGTTTTATAGTTTTTGTTACTTTATTCTTTTTTTAAATTTGTTAAAGAACTTGACTCGAAACATAGATAGTACTCAGTACACTGTTTTATAGCCCAAGCAATTGCCTCATTTCCACTAATAAACCCTAAGCCGTAACAAAGGGCTGTGACCCTGGCAATGCACACCAAAAGTACAAACAGGGACACCATCCATGCGCAACTTGGCACTGTTAGTACTCTGATATTTTTCAGCTGTTGATGGAATCAGCCTCTTTAAGAGCTACCACAGAGTTCGGGAAACCTGACTACCAGCCGGCCTCAGAACCATAAAACTGAGTTTTAGAGCTGTACCCTCATTTGGAGATAATAGAATGAGTTGCCTAGTCATAAAAACAGAGACACAAGCAAAACCCATGCATCGAGTCAAGAAGATCCAGTGTTCAACATCCTAAACTGGAAACAATGTATTAAAATACATCTGCGCCAGCCTAATAGATGGAGAAGGGGTGCGAGGCTGGTCAACAGATAGAATCTGTTTACCCCTTAAAATTTGATAAAATAATGCTTATTTGATAAAATAACGTTTATAACACATATCTCTAACACTAAAATCAAATATTGCTTAATTCTTTAAATTATGGTCTGGAAAAATATGATGTAAATATAGTATTTTCATCAAAATAAATATTATGCACAACTTCTCAGAAACGTAACAGGCTTGCTATTTTAGTTTATGTGAGGAAAACGAAAAAACAAAACGTAAACTTTTTCAGAAAGTTTTGTTTCTTTTCAATATTCTTTTTGACTTTTAAAATAATAAAATAGCGATTGCAATAAATTAAAGTTTTATTAAGATCTGTTTTAAATAACCCATAGTAAATGTAACTTATTTATTAAATGTAATTTTTTAAATTATACTTAATATTGTTATTATTATTATTATATTTTTTATTATTATTATTAATGATTATATTAATATATTTTTTAAAATATGTTTTTTAATCAAAAAAATAAAAAAATTTTAATATTATGTTTACTGTAATTATCTTTTTAATTATCATTAATTTAAAGGGCGCCTTAAAATCACTTTCAAAATTATTAACCTTTAGTAAAAGTTAAATGAACAGATTTGCTAATAATTAAATCAAAATTTTAAAACTAAAATAATATTAAATATGTTTATTAAATGCTTATATTTTTTGTCTTCGAATACAAAACATAAATCTATTATGTTAAACTAAAAAAATATGTCTTTTCACTTCTTAAATTGTATATTGACTCATCAAAAATCAACTTTTTATATTGCAAACATTTTTTTAGGTTTATTTGGTAGCCATTATGGATATAAATGTGACATTTAAAAATTCAATGTCAAAGTTTTATTAATGTCTAGAGTTGTATACATTAAAAAAAACTAGAATTTTTTTTGTAAAGCTTCAAAGTATGAACAAAACATGTTTTTCTACTAAAGTTTTATATTTGGAAAAATCATAAATTTCAAATTATCATATCTTATGAACCACAAGAGATTTTATGCTAAAATTTTAAGGAGTTGCTTGTCTTATTGATATAAACCAACCCACCAAGTTTCATCAAAATCTAAGGTGGTTCATGTTCAAGTCCTAAAATTTTGGCCCATTTGGCATGGAATGACCCAATGCTATTTTACTTGGCATGGAATGACCCATTACTATTTTACAAAATTTTTTTTCTAAGAATTAAAAAATTATCTAAATGAGTTTTTCAATGAATTTCATTATAAATTACTTACAGGTTATGTACGAAATGATTTCTTCGTAACATTATTCAAAGCAGACTTTGATAAAGGTAAAATATATATATATTTTTTAAGTTTTATATTTAAGTTAATAGTAAAAGTATTTTTATAATCCTGAACATCACTTTAAGGTTCGAAGTCATCTGGAAAAAATATTGAGGTTGCCATGTGTGTAGTTTCTGAAACAGGACAAGTCTTCAATGTATGAAATTGTTATATTTTTTTAAATGTTATTATTTTAAAACATCTTTTTTATGACTATAATTAAATCACTTTATTAGTTTATTTATTGACTATATGATATGGACTTTTGGTTATACATATTTATATAGATACAATGTTCTCTACAATAGTTTTTCCTTTTGGTTATCTTACAAACTCTGCTTTACTTAAGTTATCAATTAATTAGATTCAGATATTGAATGGAACTAATATATAGTCATTTATTTAACTTGATTTTCAGATTGAATCATAAAATCAACATTTAAAAATTTTGTGACTTCATTGGAAAACAAAATTTTGTGACTTCATTGGAAAACAAAATTTTGTGACTTCATTGGAAAACAAAATTTTGTGACTTCATTGGAAAACAAAATTTTGTGACTTCATTGGAAAACAAAATTTTGTGGAAAACTTTTAATCAGATAATGTTAAATCTTTAAAATATGCCCTAAAAATATGCCTTAAAATAGACCCCAAATTTATATAGCCCTTATTTTATTCAAATTTATATAGCCCTTATTTTATTCAAATTTATATAGCCCTTATTTTACTTTTTTAAAACTAATAAAAATGAATTACAATCTGAGTAAATAAAAACAATGACAAATTATTTTTGTCTTATGAGGTCCTTTACACTGATAGAAATTGGCTGTCCATACCCTAATTTGTCTGTTGATATATGTAATTAAGTCTCTGTCTTTTCAATATGACGATAGTAGCAATGGTCTATGTATATTTATATACACACAATAATAACTATTTCTGCTAGCAAGGAGTTGACAGAATTAATGTGTGGAAAAGACTAACTGATATCTTCTAAAAAAGGTTTTACTTATAAATTGATTTTAATATTTTTTTTTTTAATGTTATTAAACTCCCCAATGCTAAGATGGCCACTACAGTCGATGAGGCTACTTTACAACCTCTCTTTAAAAGTGGTTACAATTTTTTTTTCCTTTCTCAACTTTTTACCTCCAAAACACAAACCTTGGACTGGACAAAAGCAAGGAAATAAGTTGAGCACAGTACTATCAGGGATGTGGTGGGAATTGAACTGGGAACTATCATGCTCTATCATGTTCTATGTTCTATCATGATTGTTAAGTTATTAATTGTTAAAATGCTTGTTAGTTGTTGTTATGTTGTTATGTTGAGTTTACAATCAAGTTAAAATTAACGAAACATGCAGGTTTCATAAATGGTAGTGTTCTTATTAAAAGCTAATCATTATTAAAAGTTGATCAAAACAAAATTTATGAAAATCTCTCATATAAAACAAGACTATTATGTAAAATGTTGACTAATGTTAATGCTTAATGTGAGGAAAAAAATTGACACACAACTGCTTTAAGGTTGGAAGGTCGAATTCATTCGATGAAAATTAAAGAATTACTCTGTTCTGATTCAGTTAAAACATATTTCATTTAATTCGTAAAAGCCAAAGGAAAAGTGTAATATGTACTTGCTAAAAGCTCACACAGTTATATAAGTTATACAAGTTAAGTCTAACTTGCTAGCAACTTTCAAAATACATTAGAGACAAGGCACAAATCATAGAGCAAAAGTATGTAAATAGGGTTGTCTGGAAATTGAGCCACTTATCATCTGAGTTCTATATTAGTAAGAGATTGAGAAAGACAAACATTTTGAGCTTTAGTGCCTGCAGGTAGGTGATACTAGAGCCAAGCCATTCAATGAACATTAAAGTAATGAAGCAATACTGACTGAGGAATAAAGAGAAAGAGTTTGGTCAATTAGAAATTAAAAAGAGTACAATTTTAGGATAAAGGAGAACAATTAAAAATAATAAGATAGGTAAGTAAATGAGGAGGGGCTAAATAAAAGCATATAAAAAAATGGTGAAGTTTCACTGTATTCCGTGATTTACATATATCATATTTAATAGATTTCACCATAAATAGGTAAATCTATGCATAAGTATATACCTAGGTCCTTCAATATTAAGGGAAAGAAACAGCCAAATTAAAATGTCTCACAAGGAGAAAGTAGGAGTAATGAATTTTGAAATAAATTCAACTGATGAAAAATTACTTTTAAGATTGAGATTATCAAAGACAACAAAATTATAAATTCTGGTATTAAAGTTGTCTTTGACGAACAAAACTCTTCTTTCCAGTAACATATGGGGTACTAGGAGGTTCTATCTTTGTTCCTGTACTATTTTTTTATTAATGTTTTTCTAGATAATTTGCTGATGACTCTTATCACTATTTAGATCTTGAATGTGATCTATTGTGACAGCTTGGGGCTTGCACTGACAACACTATTGTGACAACTTGGGGCTTGCTGCGACTAGTGAATTTAAACCCTAAATAAACTCAGTTATTTATTGATAATAATTATTACGCTATTGTTGTTATTCCTATATTAACAATTAGAACAAAAATATATATATAACAAAAAGTTATATAACAAAACTTTTACAGAGTCCTCTACAATTCTATTGGCTTACGTTATCTTTTACTTCTGATTGCTTATGTAAACCATATACAATCCATTTAGTCTACCATCTGTAAATGTTGTTTTTCTTTATCTTACTTCTCTCTTCCTCTATATATCTTTTATTTGTCTTTGTCTATAATATTGTTATTGTATTTAGTTCTTTAATGATTCCTCATACACCTTTTCCATCATTAAAAACACTTTTATGAAACTTTTTTTTTCCTCTTACATCTTTTTTATTGTATTATTATATTATATTTTTATATATTATATTATATTTTTGTTTATATTAATTAATTTTTTTTTATTTATATTTTCTTGATTTAAATAATTTATATTTTTTTGAGTTGTTAATTTTTTTTTTGCTTTTAAGAATTTTTTTTCTTTTTGCTAATTTGAATAATGGTTGCTTTTTGAGAGTGAATTTGTTTTAATAAAGTATCACACTAATACCATTAGAAATGTCAATGTCAGATAAGAATGATTTTAATGGTGACTCTCTGATATAATTTTTTAACATTTTTATAAAATATTGTTTTATTAAGTGGTTTAAATAGAAATATTTTAAAGTAGTTTTATGAATGCTTTTTTTATGCAATGAGCTTTTATAATATCTTTTTAAGGATTGTATGTATATTGGGTGTGGTAGCGAAGCAGTTTCAGAGTATCATTCATTTGTATTATATCATGCAAATACTCCTTATTGGAATGAAACTATCAAGGTTTGAAAATTAAAATTATTTAAAAATGCTTGCATTTTTTTATAAATTTTAGATTAATTTAAATATATGTTTTTCTAATTAGGTATTTACATAAATGTTTAATTAACAGTTTTAAAAAATTGTTTTTTTATTTGATTTAAAATAATTCTACCAAATTAATTTTAGATAACATTACCAAGTGAGCAGTTTCAAAATGCTCATTTAAGGTTTACATTTAGCCATTGTTCTCGTAATGAAGGTAACATTAAAATTATATTAGAAAAAAAAATTTGAATAATTTATTTTAAATATTATTTTTATTTGCAAACAAAATCAATTTTTTAAATAAATGATTATAATTTAAATTGCAAACAAAATTATAATTTTCATATATTATTTTCTCTCTCTAGGTTTTTATTTAAAAATTATTTGCAATGAGTTTTTTTCTCTGATTCATCTCTTGATTTTTAACTTTTGATCGTTTCTTTGATCTCTGAAAAATTTAGTTTAATTTTGAGGACAAAGTCATTTTGAAATTTTCTTCCTTATTGTGTTTTTGATTTTTTAATCTTTATGTATTCTGTTAGTTGTTTTCTTTCTTTTTCTGGTTAACTCTTCACTTAAATAGTGTCAATCCTAACAAGGCTACAGGTTTTTCACTTTTTTTATTTATACAAATTCACTAAACAGAAAACTCTGAAGATAAAAAAAGTAGTTGATGTAGAAGAGATTTTTTATTTATTTTTATAACAATTTCAAAATGGGTAATATTTTATAATAATGGATAAATATATTCTATTTTCCTAAATCTTTAGAATGCATATAGATTTTTATTATAGCTGAAACTTATAAAGCTTCTCAGTTCAACTTATAAGACTTCTCAGTTCAACTTATAAGACTTCTCAGTTCAACTTATAAGGCTTCTCAGTTCAACTTGAAAAATAAATATAGTTAGTTCTTTTTATGAAAACAGTACAATATGAATAGTATAAAATGATATCAAAATAATATATCAAAAATAAATCATTAAGGTAAATTATATCTTTTAAAAATAATTTTTTATTTAAGGAAAAATGAAAGGAGAAAGAATGTTTGGTTTTTCATTTATAAAACTTTTACAAGAAGATAAAACAGTCATACCTGACAGTTCATATGGATTGTTTATATATAAGGTATGTTTAAAGGTTTTGGAAATTTTTTTCAACAGTTTCCTTCATCATTTCAACTTTTAACAGTTTTCTCTAGTTTGCTTTGTTAATTATGAATAATAATTTTGGTATAACTTATTACCAGAAAGCCTACTTTATTAGCTTTGTGAAAAGGGTTTATAAAAAGCAATAGTTTTGAGTTTTTGTGCATTAGAAACAAATGCTGGTCTTTGAATTTATCAGAAGTAAATGAGCATACTCTTTACAAAAATATACAAGAATGATAATAATGATAAAATATAATATGAAAAAAAATCTTATAATAAAAAATGTATTTATATATAAAAAAAAAAATTATAAAAATTGTAAATAAAAAACTTTGATATTAATAGAACAAATTGGATCTGTTATTATCTGTCAATATCAATTGTAATACTATACAATGAACTATTTTATTGTTAAATTTTCTCTTAATTATCTTACTCAAAGTAAGTAGCAAGCAGTGATACTACTACTACAGTGATACTAGAGCCAAATGTTATGAGCATTAAATTCAATAAAAAATTAGACTATTAGTATGCTAAATGTAAACAAATTAAAACCTGACTTCTACACACATAAATGAATTAATACTTATGTATATTTTGAGGTCATGAATGTGACTGAAATCCACAGATAGCTTTATTTTTATCTAATGAATCTAATTAGCCTTAAAAGCAAGTAGGTCTGGTGAACTTTGCAAGAGTTAAGATTCAATAGATGAAAAATTACTTCATAGACATTGAATATATGTAAAAGATAAATTTAAACATCTTTTTAACTATTCATTTATATTATACACTATCTTATACAATAGTTTTTTTTGTTGATTTTTGATGACAAGAGCATTTTATGTTTTTTAATGTTATTTAAATTATTAGACAGAACTCGAATTAAACAGGTAGCACTTGACTCAAACAGATAGTACTTAGCACCCTAAACAACAGGCTATGCAGTTGCCTTATTCCTGTTAAATGGCACTTCTCCTACCCTTAATATATTAAAGAAGGGTTTTATTTTAGAGTTTTCCTTTTTCAATGTGAGCTTTTACCGCCTCTAAAAGAATTTAGCTTTTACCGCCACTAAAAGAGCTTTTACCGCCACTAAAATTTAACCTTTGGTCAAAACTGCTAGCTAGCTCACCAATTGATCACGTTTTTGGCGAGTTGAGTACTTTAAAGAAATACAAAGCAATTGGCCCAGATGGCATAAGTCCTTATGTTCTCAATGAGTGTGCCTCTGGATTAGCTTGGCCTATTTCCCTTCTGATAGTGTCATCATTTGAAACAGGTATAATACCTAATAATTGGAAAGAAGCAAATAGGATATCATGGCATCAACATGGCTTCGTAAGACAAAAATCATGTGTTACAAATTTATTAGAGACAATAGACATTACATCAGAGACACTAAACTGTCGCCTTTACGCAATTATAATCTATCTGGATTTTGTTTTAACCTTTGATAAAGTCTGTCATGAAGCGTTAGTTGTCAAATTAGAGGCCTATGATTTCAAAGGTAAACTACTGAGGTGGTTAAAAGCATTCCTCATGGACAGAAAACAAAGAGTTCATGTCGACGAAAACTACTCCTAGTGGATAAAAGTTCAGAGTGATGTGCCACAAGGATCTGTTCTAGGTCCTTTACTGTTTATAATGTACATAAATGATATGCCAGATGTTGTCAAATGTTCATTCAAGCTCTTTGCTGATGACAGCAAACTAATAAATATAATAAAAAATCAGTTTGACATTGAACAACTGCAGACAGATCTTGATGCTGTGGCTAAATGGGCTGATAATTAGAAAATGGAGTTCAATACAAACAAATGCAAAGTTTTGACAATAAAAAAATTGTCCAAAACAACAGTCTATGATCACAAATTTAGCATACAAAATCAAGATAATAGCGGCACATACTTATTGTCTTCCAACCAAGAGCGAGATCTTGGAATTTTATTAATTAGCGATCTAAAATGGTCACCCCAATCAAAACATGCAGCAGTTGAAGGTAATGCAGCACTAGCTTCATTTAAGCTGACATTTAGATACTGGAACCCTTTAATGTTTTAAACACTTTATACCACATTTGTAAGACTTCACCTTGAGTATGGCAAGCCTGTATTGGCGCCATTAAACAAAGTTGATGAAAAAATTGTTGAACGAGTTCAAAGAAGAGCCACCAAGTTTTGCCATTCATTAAGGGGAAAATATGAAGATCGACTAGCCCTACTCAATATTTAATCAGTCAAAGTATGTAGCGCACGAGTAAACGCAATTCAGTATTTTAAGGAAAGTACTGGACTTTTTAATTCATTCATATATCATATATATATATATCAATCTTATTATATATATATATATATATATATATATATATATATATATATATATATATATATATATATATATATATATATATTTATGTATATGTATATGTATATATGGGCAATTCCATGGGGGAAAATGAAAAAGTAGTCAAATTTTATTCTCTTTTTCGTCAACTTTTAGCAAATAATAATTGATGTAGACATATGAAAGTTTGTTTAAAATATATCTTTGATACTAAAATTAATATGTTTAAGCTATTTTTATGCCTCCGAACGTTACAGTTTTTCTCATAGTCGCATGATATAAAAGGTATCATTGTAAAATGTTTTTCTAACCATAAATTTATTTGCATAGTCGGAATTAAATTAGCATGAAAATGGAGCTAACATGTTCAAATTGTAGTTAGTCAGATTTTATACATTATAATATATATATATATATATATTTTTTTTTTTTGAAAAAAATAATGAACTTTTGCAATTTTCGGGTAACTTAAGTTAACTAAAACATAATAAAAGTTTTGTTTTTTATAAAATTTAGTTAAAAAACTAAGGTTTTTTAATAATATATGCGAAAGAATATTAAATGTTACGTTTTTGCATTTAAAGTTTTAAATAACGATGCTTAGGTAGAGCACATTTTTATTTTAAATTTGTGTAAGTTAAAACATAGTCAATTGAATATTTATAACTTCTATTGACTATGGTTAAAACTACAAACATCTAGTTTTTCGTTAACAAAATAAATTACGTCATTAAGTAATTATTATTTTGTTGCCAAGATTCTAACTGGAACTTTTTATATCAGGAGAATTTAGAAAAAAATCTTTAATTTTTTTAATGTTAATTAAAATTATTTATATTATTGTTTTTTTATTTGTTTATGTATTCTTATTTTATTTGACATAAATATCCATAAATAAATAAAAATAAGAATTATATAAATATTTTTATTTCGACATTAAAAAAAAAACAGATTTATTTGCTATTCTCCTAATTAAAAAATCTTTTGTTTTTTAAAACAAATCCTTTGTAAATGCTTCATAAAGATTGTCACCCTTTATTTGTCAATTTTTAACCCCTTTCCTACTGTCACAAACAATCACATATACCTGAATCCCTCTCCCTCCAAAACTGTGATAGTTTAGGTGGGAAATAGTTTTTCATCATAAATATTTCAAAATATTTAAATGTAAATACTTTGCAGTATTTAAAAAAATTCAACCTAATGAAAATAAGGCAATACGCATAAACATAAGGAGTTTAAGTAAAAACTTTGACAAACCAAAGATTTTCTTATTTAAACTACTCGAATAAGTATTAAAAAGTTGTAATACTAATTTTTCAAAGTTGCTCTTGTTCTGGCGGAAAAACTGTTTTCGATTTAATAACTTTTATAAAAGTTATGAAAAATCACTAAGGAAGAGTGACACCTGTTTTTTAAAATTTTCTTTGTTAATTATTTTTGATGAATGAGTTCAACACTTTTGCGATTGTTTTGTTACGTAACTCTAACTGGAAATAATAAAAGTAAAAAATCCACAATATTAATCACAAGGTAACGTAAGTGATGTAACGTAAGTTGAATATATAGCATGAAAAAAAAATGATTTACTGATTGGCAGAAATCAGACCTAAAAGTTGAAGCAATTTTTTTACCCGTGTATTGTAAGTTGAGTGGCATTTTTAGTAATAAGTTTGTCCTCTCTCGGCCAGACTCAAAACTTTTTAGCTTATTATATTCTTTAGACTAACAGCTTTCATACAAAATTGCTCAGAGTTTAATTTACTGTTTAAATAGGCAAATATTTGATAAAGTTATTGCGCATGTAACTTGAGTTAAAAATGGAATATATATATATATATATATATATATATATATATATATATATATATATATATATATATATATATATATATATATATATATATTTAAACAATTTAAAATGTATTCTACAAAAAGAGTGCTCAATGTTCTTAAAACAACAGAGCAATTACAAATTAGTAGAAAATCACTTAGCAAAATTTTTTCTCATTTAACACTGTATTTCATCAATAAAGACTATATATATATATATATATATATATATATATATATATATATATATATATATATATATATATATATATATATATATATATATATATATATATATATATATATATATATATATATATATATATATATATATATATATATATATATATATATATATATATATATATATATATATATATATATATATATATATTATATATATATATATATATATATTAATGTAAATTATATATATATATATATATATATATATATATATATATATATATATATATATATATATATATAATTTTAAAATGTATTCTACAAAATAGAGTGTGCCATATTTTTTAAAGAAAAGATATAAAAAATAAATTAGTAGAAAATCACTTAAATTTTTCATTTAACACTGTTTCATCAATAAAAACTCATCAGAAATCCTTCAGAAAATCAGAAATTTTCTGTCTTTATTGATGAAATGTTCATCAATAATAACAGAAAATTTCTGATTTTCTGTCTTTATTGATGTATAATATATATATATATATATATATATATATATATATATATATATATATATATATATATATATATATATATATATATATATATATATATATATATATATATGTATATATATATATATATATATATATATATATATGATATATTTATATTTATATATATATATATATATATATATATATATATATATATATATATATATATGTATATATATATATATATATATATATACATATATATATATATATATGTATATATATATATATATATATATATATATATATATATATATATATATATATATATATATACATATATATATATATATTCATAGTCAGATATTCAGTGTTAGTCATCTAGTCTGCAATTAAAAATTAAAAACAATGTAAATTTTAGTTTGATAACTCTATCAACTTTACACAAGTTCGAACCTACCTTCGATTACCTGCTACTCAAGCTGAATTATCAAAACAAGAAGAAAGTGGTGTTGTATTTGCAGGACCACACAGAAATTCCAAAGAGAGCTTAACAATAAAGACATGTTTGTGTTCCACAAAGCTCACTCAGAATTGTTAAGTATTTTTGTTTCTTTAAAATAAAGGTAATATATTGTAGTTTATATATTATATATATATATATATATATATATATATATATATATATATATATATATATATATATATATATATATATATATATATATATATATATATTTATATATATATATATATATATATATATATATATATATATATATATATATATATATATATATATATATATATATATGTATATATTGATTAAGAATGGCTTTTTTTAATTTATATTAGAAATTGTTAAAACTTATTAAATGGCACATTAACTAATAACAATGTAAAGTGAGTTACTTCTAAATGTAAATTATTTTTACATAACTTAAAGTAAAACATAAAATGTATTTACATGTTTATTATAGTTATGTTTACATATAGAGTATATTTTCAAATATTTTAACATTTTTTGATAATTTAACTAATAATAATAATTTCTATATTTTGACATATTTAAAATTTTTCAATCTCCTTTCCTTAAGCAAGTCTACGAACTTTTGGCTTAACCCCCCTCATCATGTTTTTCACAGTTCTATAAAAAACTTTAAGAAAGTATAAAGATAGGTGAGAGGGTTGAGGTTTTGTTGATGTGCAAGAAAAAAACTAGATTAACAAAAGTTTTCATAGCATGAAGGGACAGATACAATAAAAGGTTGTGACTTTGCTGAATGACAAACCAAGCGATAATGAGTTTTGTTTAATGGAATTAAAGGTGATCGTTTATTTAAGCAATGTCCATGATAGTATTTGTTAAGAGAAAGAGATGCAACCTTATGATGGTGAGAGAGTAGTTGTCAAGAGTCAAGTTTAGCAGATAAAGCAGGACCAGCACCATTTACAATGTGCTTTTGAACCTGTCTGAGAGTGAGAGTGTTGTTATTTGTCAGTGAAGGAATATCAACAATTGTTTGAAGTAAATAACTGAGTTTTGTTGGAGTTAAAATCCACAAGCCAATGCAAACCTTAAGCTGTTACAGAGGAGAAATTAGATTAAAAATGGCTGCTTGTTCTAAGCGATTAAAAAGTAAAGACTTTTTATCAAAACATGAGTATAAAGTTAAGTTGTCAGCAAATAGAGCCATTTTAAATGTAAGGTTCTTAAAGAATTCTTTATCAGGAAGGTTTTTATTGTAGATAAGAAGCAATACAGGAGCAAAAATGGAACCTTGCCTTGGTCCTTAAGTTACTGGAAATGAAGAAGAGTGTAGGACTTCAAAAATGACTTTAAGATATAATGCGATAACAATGGTTTAATAATCTTAAAACTTTTATATAAATAAACCAATTATTTAGCCCTTATTAATAGTTTAACTAGAATTGAATGGAGTTCTGAAAAACATTTTTTTTTTTTTGTTCTGATTCACTTCCAACAAGGCTGCAAGCAACTACTATTAAGTTGCGAGTTACTAAAAAAAAAAGAATGGAGTTATAGAGCAAGGAAATGGTTGACAGAAGACTTAAAAAGTTGAAGGTTGATGAGTCAGGAAAACATGACGATGGGAGAGAGTTTCTAAAGGTTGAAGTGCAGGGAAAAAACCTAGACAAATAAAAGTTTTTGAAGCATGCAGGGACAGATACAGCAAATGAATGAGAGTTTGATGAATGACAAATCAAGCGAGAATGAGTTTTAGTTGATGGAGCTAGAGATAAAAGCTTCTTTGAGTGGAGACCATGATAGTATTTGTAGAAAAGAGAAAGAGCTGCAGCTTTACCACAATGCAAAAGAGGCTCAAGCTTAGCAGATAGACCAGATCCAACTATGTTTACAATTCGTTTTTAGATCTTGTCTAGAAGAGAAAGAGCATCATTAGAAGAACCAGCCCAAATATGACAACATTATTCCATAAAGGGATGAATAAGAGATTTGTAGAGGTAGAGAGTAGAATCAGGAGAGAGAAAATGGTGAGCCTGATAAAGAGAAGCAACTTCAGCAGATGCTAATTTACAATTTATTCTATATATGGTTTCCATGAAAAGTCGTAATTGATAATCCAAGAAGACCTAGAGAAGAGGAATCAGTGAGAGGATTGCCATTCATCAATATAGAAATGTTGAAAGTACTGCAATAGTTGTTTTGTTGGAGTTAAAATTTACCAGCCACTGTGAGCCCCAATCTGTTTCAATCAGTGAGATCAGATTCAAGATCGGCTACCTGTTCTTCGCATCAAAAAGAAAAGACTTTTTGTCAATACAGGAGTATAAAGTTGAGGCATCAGCAAAAAGAGCTACTTTAGACAAATGTTCACCGGAGATTTTAAAAATTGAACAAAAGATGCTATTTTCCAGCAGGCAGGAAAACAAGAATCAGTGAAGCACTTATTAAATAGTTTAGAGAAAAACAGAGTTCTGGAAAACAATTTTGTAAGACTGTGGCAGGAATGTTGTCTGGACCACAAGCTGTAGAACAATTAACAGTTTTAACAGCATACGTGTTAAGTTATGTATTAAGCATTTCAACAGTGTACCTGTTAAGTTACATGTTAGCATTTCAACAGCCTATGTGTTAAGTTCAACAGCGTGTTAAGTTTTACATTTATTTAGATTTATATTAAGAGTAACTATCAGAAATTGGTTAGCTTAGGACTGATGTAAAGAAAGTTTTTCAGATTTTCAAACATTTAAATTATTTTATATATATATATATATATATATATATATATATATATATATATATATATATATATATATATATATATATATATATATATATATATATATATATATATAATAATAATTTAAATATATATATTAAAATTATTTTGGTGGCAGTAACCCCTGTTCTGACACCTGCACACCATTTTTTTTGTCAAAAATTGCCATTAAAAAAAAAAATCCTCAATTTCTGAATTTGTATATAATGTCAGGACTATTCTAGACTGTAAATATATGATAATATAAATATATAATAATGTCAGGGCTATTCTAGACCATCGAAAACAGTCTAGAATAGTCTTGACATTATTATATATTTATACACACATACATATATGTGTACCTACATACCAGGTATGTGGTGTCTAAAAAAAACTTCTGTTGAAAAATTAATGGGTCCCTGTGGTAAAAAAATCCAAACATTTGGGCTACAGAAACTTAGCTATTATGAACTCTGAGTCTTTATATAAAATATATCAGAGAGGGACTCTGAAACTACAGGCTAAAGATTAATAGTTTCCTTTAAACTGTGTAGTCAAACAACTAGTGTAGTCTGTGAGTCTGTAACTAGTGTAGTCTGTGAGTCTCTCAACATTTTTGGGACTTCTGAGTGCCAAATGCAGGGAATAATAAGTATTTTTAAAGTTTTATTTCCCTGGCATACATGCATACATGCATACATACATTCTTAGATACATACATACATACATACATACATACATACATACATACATACATACATACACACATACATACATACATACATACATACATACATACATACATACATACATACATACATACATACATTAACTGAAATGTAGGAGTACATATGTATACATGATATATGTATACATTAGCTGAAATGTGGAAATCTCAATTATGGTAAGGTCCTAATATTTAATAAAAAAACTGCTGTATTTATAATCATTAGTGATTTTTTAATTTTTAAATTGTTTAATGTAGCTAATATTCAGTATTTACTACGCTGGAGAATAAAATCAAATGATGAAATTAAAGAAGCACTTGATGGTTTGTTGCAGATTTCTCCTAATGAAATTGTTAAGGTAAAGTGTGTGTGTGTGTGTGTGTGTGTGTGTGTGTGTGTGTGTGTGTGTGTGTGTGTGTGTGTGTGTGTGTGTGTGTGTGTGTGTGTGTGTGTGTGTGTGTGTGTGTGTGTGTGTGTGTGTGTGTGTGTGTGTGTGTGTATATATATATATATATATATATATATATATATATATATATATATATATATAATTTATTATATTTATAAACAATTAACCCAAGAAAATACAAAAACCATTAAAAGAAATTATAAAAATTTTTAAAATTTTTCAGTTTTTCTAAATAACTTTTTCAATAATAAATGAATTAGCTTGTTATCATAGTGAAAATTCTGTGAAAATATCATAAATGTACAATAGTTGTAATCATTAGAATACAGCCTGTTGGATTGTTCAAAATATAGTTGACTTTTGTTGTAGTAAAAAATATTTTTTTCAATGTTTTAAAAAGTTTTATTTAATAAATCTTCACCATCAAATGATAAATTTCTTTTTCCTTGATGTATGCCAGATTTACAAAGTACTTCTTGTTCAGAATTGTTCCCAATTGTATATTTACCTTTTTTAAAGTTTGTTAGTAGAACTGAAATATCTGTTTCAGGTAAAGATCTTCTGGTTAAGGGCAGTTTAATAGAGTCTTTGGTTTCCATTTTGTAATCTTCTTTTTTAGAAAATAAACCTTTGCATGTTTGAAAAAACTCTTTCATATATTTTCGATAATGTTTCCAAAATATTGTACACGTTATTGGTAAAACTGAAGCACTAATGTTTGCAAACAGTTTTGAAATAACAATAAATTTTGATTTTATATTTGCATTGCTAAATTTTGCAATTGATAAGATCCAGTCTGTAATCCAGCAAAGTGTAAAAAAGGAAAATATTATTATCGCCAGTTTGAGTTGATTCCAGGAAAATTTTAATGATCTGACTGCTGATAAATTGGTATTATTTTTGTGATAATTTTTTAATGATTTTAAATGCATGATGGTTGTAAGAAATAGACACACAGTGGCAAACTCTAGTATTATTCTTGTTAATGTTATGTAAAAATTATTGTTTGGTTTTTGTAAAATTAAGCCACTTATTTCATCACACATAGAAATGTTTGTTTTTAAAGAAGTTTCAGTTTTAAAGTATTCAAAAACATGCACTGAAACTGAAATCATCCAAGTTGATATCAACCAGATCCACAAAACCATGTTTTGATAAAACTTTTTTTTAATTCTGCAGTATTCAATAAACGAAAGTAGTAACAAGGACAGAATCATTTCAGAGATGCACACATTCCTCACAATATTAGTAGTATTGCATAGCTGGTTTCCTAATACTGCTTCATTTTCATTCTCCAGTACTGCAATTGTAAAGACTGGAACAACATATGCCGCAACAACAATGCTACAAAATCCAATGTTGACTAATATATAATAATTTCCTTGCTGTTGAAATTTTTTGTATAAAAGTAATACTATAACTGTCAATAGGTTTCCTATAGTTCCCAATCCTCCTGTGACTGTAGAGAGAACTGTAACATAAACTTTTATATCTGTATCTAAATCTTTTTTATTTTCATCCATTTTTTTATTGACTAGAATCTTCTTTGCATGACTTTAAGTTTTCTATCCATTTTTTATTGATTAGAATCTTCTTTGTTTTGAAGTTTTGTATAATGTTTGTTCAGCTGTTGAAATCTTATCTATTTGTGAGCAAATTCTTTTTTTATAATTCAATTGAAATTGCTCTTGTATTTGCTTATTAAAAACTATGATTGCTTAGCAACCATTGTTTTTTACTTTAAAACTTATTTATAAACATTATTTTTGTTACTTTTCTTTATTTTATCTATAAGCAAATGCAATAATTTAAAGTTTTGTTTAATTTTCTTATTAATTATTGATGGTTTAAAAAAAAAAAAAAAAAAACTTAAGCACAAATTACTAAAGTAAACTATTGTTATAAAAAGTATTAAATGCAATATTAAATAAGAAATAAGTATGTATAAATATGTATCTAATGCTTTTATGTATTTATTTATATACACACATATACATATGCATTTGTACTTATACAGTTTTGAAAAAAATTGTTTTTTCTAAAATACTCAGTAAAAACTATTTTATTATATGACTGGCTTTCTCATGTGAGATCATGACATGAGTAGTTTCCTCATAAAAATTCTTTAAAAATAAATTAAAAAATAACAAGGTTAAAATCATTGTCTTGTTTATTTTAGTTTTAAAATAAATCAAATGAATAAATTTATTTTAGTTTTAAAATAAATCAACAAAAAAAGTTGTAATAAAATTACACAATTTTATTACAACTTTTTTCAAAAATACACTTTTTTTTTTTACTAAAAAATTTTCTCAAAATTATTTATAATATTAGGTGAATCCTTTTGAAATCAATAAATATTTGGCAGGTCACCTAAATTAGTAATTATTTTAAAGATGGTTAATCTGTGCTATTAGAGTGAATATTTGTGGGAATGGTAATGGCACCAACAAACACCAGTGTTGAAAGCAACATATGGCAAAGATTTAGTCAACAATTTCATAGTACTCTAGGAGATTTAAGATTAAATCTGCCTGGTCAACTCCCTTGGAGCTTTTAACTTGAACTTCTCTAAGAAGGATATTGATGACATAAATAATTATGTCATCAATATCTGGTGATGTAACACTAACAGAAGTTCATTCAACAGTTACAGTATATTTAGATTCTCCTCAATCTATTTGGTTTTCTTGCTATCAAAGTACAGGACAAGTCTCTTTCCCCTCAAAGTTTCCATTATATCTTGCCTTATCTGGTCTCCTAATAATTAAAATAACTTTATTACTTATGTAAATAAATCTTTATTTAGTTGTTTGTTCTACTAGTTATTTTTATATACATCTTTTACCCATAGCTTTTAGCTTTTAGCTTTTACCTATAGCTTTTAGCTTTTAGCTTTTACCTATAGCTTTTAGCTTGTAGTTTTGGGAGGAACATTCTCAAGATTCCTACCTGCTTTATTGTATATTGCTGCAATGATTGTGGTTTGAGGTCAGTTTCAACCCTATAACTAGCAGATACTAGAGAAGTACAATTCACCTGATCCTCAGGACTATTATCTTTCATTATCTAAATAATAAATAACAATGATATTTCTACTTTAAATGAATTTTGTTTTAGTTTACTCAAAATTAAAACAACCAACTTATATTTTATAATCATCATTTGTTTACTTTGTTTTTTATTGTAGAATCAAAGTTTTGAAGTAATTCATCAACAGAATCTTTATCTGTGAAAAGTACAGCTTCTGACTCAGATGCAGAGGAACCAGCATCAGATTCAAAAGAAACCTCACTTAGAGCTAGGTCTTTTTTTTTCAGACTTTAGATCTAAACTATATACACATCGATGGTTTAGATCTTTACATAATCCACCCTTGCAAATAAGATCTTTGCCTGAGGACCAGCTACAATCGGTTTAAAGTATTTAAATTTCAAAGACCTTGGAAATTTGACAAACTATATATATATATATCAGCACATTTCTAAAGCTGGAGAACTGGTTCATTGAAAACTGATTGATAAGATACTTTAGAAAAAACAGTACTGGAATAAAGTCTGTGTCTTTCTTTTTTCTCCTTTATTTATGCCTTTCTCGAAAAGAACACCTATTTTAGAAAACACTATGAAATTTTTTTTAAAAAAATATGACTTTTGGTCATATTTTTTAAAAATAAATATAACGCTTACGAGCATATCAAGATTCAGATTTATTTAAAAATAAGATAAGCGTACGAAAAGTATATTGTTGAGTTTGCTCTAAATAATGCATGTTTTGCATAATGTTAGCACTCCAGAGTTCTCGTGCAAATTTGATGCATGAAAATCAGTTTATGTTATTGTGCTTTTTTTTGTGCTAAATAAAAATATGTATTTAGCAGAACAGAAGAATGTTTTTTCTTTACAAGACATAAAAGAAAACATTTTTTGGTAAGTATGTTTGTGAGACTCTTATAACATTTGGCATAAACATACCCGAAACTGTTTCAAAAATAAATAAGCTTATAAAAACATGCATCAGACTAATTATAATATCATTCAACTTAAACATAATCAATAAATTAATAAAAAGAATAAAATAGAAGAAAAAATTTCTTATAAATTAATCTAAAATTGGTGTAAAGTTTTACAGATTTTTTTTACCAGAGTTTTTTTTTATTATTGATTTTCAACATTAATGGAATTCTGAAAATGTGAAAATGTAGGGAGGGGCAAGGGAAGGGAAACCTGGGGAAAAGTATTATATTATTACATTATATTATTAATATTATAATATTTTAAGGGTACTAACTAAATAGTAAAAAAACATTTTTTGTTATTTAATTTTTAAAAGTGTCATTTAAAAATATAGAACATATTTAGGTAGGAACATAGTTTTCTTTAAAAATTGTATTTTCATTAGGGATAAATTTTTTAAAGAATTTTTAAAAGATGTATTTTTTAAAATTAGTTTCTACAAGATAAGTTTCTTCTTTTTAGTTTTTAAGAAATTTATAATTTTTTTTACAGTTTCTACAAGATGTATTCGATGCTTTATTCAAGATTTTATCTGAAAAACCAGCTGACTTTTCTCTTCCTGTTTTTAAAGCAATAGTAAGTTTTTATGACTCTAATAAGTTTTTAAAACTCAAGTAAACTTTTAAGACTTATTAGGTATTTTTTAATTATTTAATTAAATTTGATACATTTTATATTTAACAAACTAGAATTTGCCAAAACTTGTCATTTGAACAAACATATTTTAAAATTATGTACAATTTTATGACAATTTATTATGGTCGCCCTTATTTTTCCAAAAAGAGTAGGAAGTATGGGTTTTTAATTTTCACGCTGGGTATCACCAACTGTTAGTTTTAACACTTTTAAGTTGAGAAAAAAAGTTATCTTTGATTATTTTATAAATTAACATGAGACATTAGAAATAATTTTAGAATCATTAAAAGTACTCAAATGTTGTAATTTGTAAATTGAAATAATAGTATAAAAATAAAATTACAAAAAATTTTGTAGATCTTCAACTCAATTAAATCCGTTGAATCAATATTTTGATTCTCTTGTAAAATATTAAGTTAAGGGCAACTGAAAGCATATTGATAATGAAACAAAAACAAAAAGCATACTGGCAAGAAAAATACTAAAAACAAATTAAAAAAAAAATTGTTTATTGTCTTAATCTTTATATAATATGTTAAAAAGGTATTTTTTTATTTTTTTGTATTTTATGAATAAAATTATTTTTAAATGTCTATGTTAAAAAAATTAATTCTATATAATAAAAAAATTAGTACAGTTGTGCGGCAGTAAGGCCATCGTATAAAATAAAAATTTTTGAAACTTTTTTTTTTTTTTTCTTTTTTAAAAATAGGTAACTTTATATATGGTCACAAGACACTAGTGTTAAGTAAAATAAAAAAATTGTGAATAATAGTTTTCTTGGTGATGTTTTTCTGCTTCACTGAAAAATAAAAGCCTATTTCACCACATTCCTGCTGATAAAATGTCATTCCACTTCATGGAATGACATTTTATCAGCAGGAATGTGGTGAAATAGGCTTTTATGTTATCTGTTTTCTTCTTGTCAAAATAGGCTTTGAAAGAGACAGGCAACTCTGGTCTAGAATAATGCGGTTTTCCAAGATAAAAATTTAAGTACCAATTGTTTATGTAGAAATGAATAAAGAAAGCTGTATAAATGCATAAGCAACCAAGTAAAATGATAATATTCAATTTTCTTTTTAATTCTAAGTAATTTTTTTTTTCAATGACTTTTTTTTGAAAATAAAACCTTTTTATAAGACCCTGGCCTCCATTTCTTATAATCAATAATGTCCCATGTTTTTTTCCTACTCAACCAAAAAGAAGCCAAATCCAGAAGTAAGTGAACAACTGTGATTCCTTTTTTGACCTCGACATGCATCTGAAATAATATATATCTCTTTAATAGACTCAGAAATATATTTAAGTTAATTAAGAAATATATTTAGGTTAATTAAGTAAATAATAATAGTAATATAAAAGTTATTATTATTATTTTTTTTTTATTTATTTTAATTTACCTCCTCAAGGCCGAGAAGGCCACTACAGACGAGGAGGCTACTTATTTGTGGTTATAACCCTCTCTCAACTCTATAACTCCGAAACACGAACCTTGACGAGCAAGGCCGCTGCGCGGAGAAACGAGTTGAGCGCGGTACTACCAGGGACGTGGTGGGGATCGAACTCGGAACCACTCGTTTATGAAGCAAGGGCTCTACCACTACACCACTACCGCATAAATATTAATAATAGAGAGTCAAAAGTAAGATAAAGATTGAATTAAAAGACTGAATGTTTATTATTTTTATAGATCAACATTATGATGACAGAAATTTGTTAATATTGTCAATTAGTGTTAAAAAACTGTTGCTTATTAGTTGACGATTTGACCGCAAATTTAATAGAACAGTAACTAAGATGTAATAAAAAAATAACAACAGTAAAAAGTAACTTTATCTACATTATTGGGAGTTTACAGCTAGCTTGAGTTTCCTAAGAAGTTCATATGAAAATTCTATGAAAGATTAAGGTCTTTAAATATACCAAGATATTTAAAAGATATAGCCATCATTTGTTTATTTAAAAAAAGTCATATTTGTTTTAATTGTAACTTTTACATTGTTTTTGAAATTTCATCCCTTTAGAAGTGGTTTATTTTTTTAGAAGATGAAGACATCAAAGGTTTTTTTTTGTGTGATAAAAATGCCACAATCAAAATGACCAGCTTTTCTGATTTTATACCTATTAATGCAAGGCAAATAGAATGCTTTGATTAAAAACCAAATTGAAATTTATTTATAAATTCAGAAAAAGGTACACTCTAGATAAATCCAATCCAATAATCCAAGAACCTATTTAATGTTGAAATATGGCTTTAGCCTTTCGGTCTATATAACTATTTATAAATAGGTTCATTATATAATAATAACTAAAAAATAGGTCTTCATAATCACATAGATATGATAATATATTTTATTTACCTTTTTAAGGCTAAGGATGTTTACCAAATGTTTATATATAGATGTTTATATAGCAAAAATAGTATTCAGTTTTTTTGCTGTAAATTATTTTAGTGTCGTAAAAGCTGTAAAAAAATTTTTTAGGTCTCAATCACAAAAATAGTTGAGTTGCGTAAATTTGAGTTATTTAAGTCAACTATGACAACATACATAGAATGTCATTTTAGTGCAGCTCTTGTGTACAGGTGCGTAACTTTTATTTTAAAAAATCTTTAGTGAAAATAAATCTGTTTGACAATTTATGAGGTTTTTTATTTTGTTGTTATTTATTTTGTTAAGGTCACTAGCAGATTGCCTGTGTTTAGTAGTGAAACAGCGCACTGTGGCTGATATGAAATCAACTTTTGTGAATGCTATGCAGGTAAAAGATTTTAAGGCATTTAAAATTTTTTTTATAATGTTCCGATAATAAACAACTAAGTCAAGTCTTTGTATTTAGGTTTAGAAATAAATTTTTGAATTTTTAGAGTTTGCGTTACATTATTAAAATGATTGCTCGATCACACCACTTACATATGAGCACGTATGTTTTATTTCCTAAAGAAAATTTTGAAATAAAGTTTTAGGTTTTTGAAATTTTTTTTTTGTGTAAAGGAAAAATACAAATACAGAAGTTATTGTGGATTTAAAAGATGTGTTCAAAAAAATATTCCAAACTATAAACGAGTTCATGACGAATGAAAAAGAAGAAGATAATGAATCAAAGGTTTTCTCTTTAGAAAATTATAAAACTAAAATATGGAGTTTGAAAAATAAAAATAAGTTTATAACCTATTTTATTTATTTAGATTGATGTATTGCGAAATATTCCTGAACTTTGTGATGATGTACTTAAAGTATTCACTGAATCTGAATTCAGGTATGCATTTTTCCTTTTTTTGCTCATCATTAAAATTTTATTAAGACTTTAATTTTAATTTAGTTGCAGAATGATTTGTTAACAAATATGAGTAGTTTGTATGGTTGATAGTATGCTTGGTTGACATTGCGTATGGTTGACAGTGTGTGTGGTTGACAGTGTGTGTGGTTTACAGTATGTGTGGTTGACAGTGAGTGTGGTTGAAAGTGTTTGTTGTTGACAGTGTGTGTGGGTGAAAGTATGTGTGGTTGACAGTGTGCAGGGTTGACAGTATATGTAGAGTTATTAAATTATGTTTTTTAAATATACATTTTTCAGCCAAGATGTTAAACAGATGGTGGCGAATTTGCCGAAACAATTAAGTTCTAGTTATCAAAAAAAAAAGTTGTCAAGTCTGCAAAATATTGTTGGTAGTAGGCTGTTTGGTAATAAAGGCAAGATTACTATGTTATGATAAGTTTGTTTTGATATACTTTTGATAAAGTTTTTTAATAAATAATTTGATAAATTTTAAAAATTAGAGTTAAAGTTGTAATCACTTCTTTAAATAATTGTAGATGGTCGAGCACACTTGCTACCAGCCATCTTAACATATCTAAGCTATTTAATAAATAAAAAGCATGAGCTTGCATCTTGTTTGGAACTGTTAGGTACAATTACAACACTATTGCAACATGGAAACCACAGAAACCCAGTAATAATGTTTTTTTATTATAATTGAAATTATTTTTTAATGTTTTAATTGTTTAAAAGAAAAATTGTAAGTTGATACTTTTTATTATTTAAAGTTTTTTAATTTCCTCTAGGAAGACATATTTAATGATGTTTCAATGCTGATATCTTCAATGTTAGGACCAGTTTTAAATGTGCTGCTTACTATTGAAAGGAAAGGTCAACTTACTGTAGGTAGTTTTTCAATACTTTTGTTGTTGTTGATTTGTTTAAAATAAAAAACTTTATGTGTTTTAAATTATCTAATATGAAATGTTATATTTTAGTTGTCTAATAGAATATAATCTTATTGAGTGTTATTTTTAAATTGCTTAATGTTTAGTTACTGAAAATTTGATTTAAAAAAAAGTTTTTGAACACATTTAATAATGATGATCAGTAATCATGATTTTAATCACTTATTATAGATTATGTAGCTAATTAAAAAAATTCCTTACAGGCTTTAACAGTTTCCTGCCTCTTTGGAATCTTAAAGTTAATGAATGAGCGCCATTTCCAGCTGCATGTTGACACTTTTCAAAATAAAAATGATCTCAGAGTAAGTTATCGCTCACTTATGTTATCAATAAGTTATCAATATTATCAGTTTTTATAATGCAGTTTTATAATTTGTTTTATGTATATTCCTTGAAGTTATTATTTTTAGGATTTTTTAAAAAAATTGACTGTAGCGTTTAAAGAATTGCTCACAATGGAAATTTATCCTAAAGATTGGTTTCTTCTAAAAACTGTTGGGAATAAGTGAGATAAATATAAATAGCTCTATATATATGTGTGTGCATATATATATGTGTGTGTATATATATGTGTGTGTATATATATATATATGTGTGTGTATATATATATGTGTGTGTATATATATATGTGTGTGTATATATATATGTGTGTGTATATATATGTGTGTGTGTATATATATATGTGTGTATATATATATATATATATATATATATATATATATATATATATATATATATATATATGTATTATGTCAGGTCAGGTTTTCCTGCTACTGGTAACATGTAACCCAGTACAACCTGCCCCATGTCCTGCTGCCTTGTAGGATACGCTTTTTTAGGCAAAGGCTAGGAGAAGTTAACTCCGAATTAAAACACCCCCTGCCTTGGGGCTCTTGGTTGAGTAAAGGCTAGAGATGGTGTCTCGATAAAAATACTCATCTTGGGCAGATGTTACATGCATCCAGCTGCTGTCTTGTAGAAGGCCTCCTAGGCAAAGACTTAAGGGGTAAACAGATTCTATCTGTTGACCAGCCTCGCACCCCTTCCTCATCTATTAAGCTAGCGCAGATGTATTTTTAATACATTGTTTCCAGTTTAAGATGTTGAACGCTGGATCTTCTTGACTCAATGCGTGGGTATTGCTTGTGTCTCTATTTTTATGACTGGGCAACTCATTCTATTATCTCCTAATGAGGGTACAGCTCTAAAACTCAGTTTTATGGTTCTGAGGCCGGCTGGTAGTCAGGTTTCCCGAACTCTGTGGTAGCTCTCAGAGAGGCTGATTCCATCAACAGCCGAAAAATATCAGAGTACTAACAGTGCCATGTTGCGCATGGATGGTGTCCCTGTTTGTACTTTTGGTGTGCATTGCAGAGGCCACATTTGGAGCCCTTTGTTACGGCTTAGGGTTTATTAATAGTAATGAGGCTATTGCTTAGTTGTTAAATAGTGTACTGAGTACTATCTATACTTGAGTCAAGTTCTTTATAAATTTAAAATGACTAAAGTACCTAAAACTAAAAAACACAAAAAACCATCGTCATCACCAAGTTCTCTAAACCTATAATTTACTAATATTCGTGGTCTTCAAAGTAACTTTTCTTCTGTTGAGTCTTATCTCTTGCAAAGTTCACCAGACCTACTTGCTCTTTGTGAGACTAATTTGAGTTCGGCTGTCCCATCTTGTGATCTTAGTGTTGATGGTTATCTTCCTTTAATTCGTAAAGACTCCAATAATCACATGCTTGGCCTGGGCATCTACATTCGTAAGAACTCACCCATTTGTCGTGAAACTAGGTTTGAATCTACAGACTATTCATTTATGTGCTTTCGTTTAGCACAACTTCACTCTATCGCCTTTCTCTTTGTTCTATATCGCTCTCCTTCATCCCAAGATTGCACTATTCTTGATGTTATTTCTGACCAAATTGACCAAGCCCTCTCCCTTTATCCATCGGCCAATATCGTCGTTGTTGGTGACTTTAATGCCCATCACACCGATTGGCTTGGCTCTAGTGTCAGTGACTCTGCTGGCGTCAAGGCCCTCAACTTTTGCCTTTCTCAATCTCTAACTCAAATAGTCAACTTTCCAACTCGTTTTCCAGACAACCCTAATCATTTACCTTCTCTACTCGACTTATGTCTTGTTTTGGATCCTAGTCAGTGCTCAATTTCTCCACATTCACCCTTAGGTACTTCTGATCACGGTTTGATCTCTCTAAAACTATTATCAAATTCTTCTACTTCATCAGAATCCCCCTATCATCGTACCACATACAACTACCTTAAAGCTGACTGGGACTCTCTCCGTGATTTTCTTCGTGATGGCCCTTGGGTAGAAATCTTTCGTCTTCCTGCTGACAAATGTGCTTCTTACATAACTTCGTGGATTCAGGCTGGCATGGAATCTTTTATTCCCTCTCGACGATTCCAGGTCAAGCCTCACTCTTCTCCTTGGTTTTCCTCACATTGCGCTGCAGCAATTTCTAATCGAAACCGTTACTTCCATATCTATCAGCAAAACAATTCTCCAGAAAACAGACATCTGTTCACTATCGCCAGAAACCATTGTAAAAAGGTTTTGTCTGACGCCAAAGCTCGCTATTCCCAGGTCATTAAATCTCGTATCTCATCACAAAAATTAGGCTCTCGAGACTTCTGGAGAATCTTTAACAGTATCAATAATAAGGGCAAATCTGTTATTCCTTCTCTCTTGTATGGTTCAGACTTTGTCACCTCACCTAAAGACAAAGCTGAATTGTTTGCTAAGAACTTTTCATCAATATCATCTCTTGATTCCACTAGTTGCGTTTTACCTGACATAGCCGTCAAACAGGTTGATCCCTTGCTTGACATTCGCATCACTTCAGCTTCTGTATCTAAAGTAATTTCCTGCTTAGACTCTTCAACAGCTTGTGGTCCTGACAACATTCCTGTTGTAGTCTTGCAGAGGTGTTCTCCGGAGCTTTCATCCATACTTTCTAAACTATTTAACAAGTGCTTATCAGAGTCTTGTTTTCCATCATGCTGGAAAGCAGCATCTGTTATCCCTATTTTCAAAAATTCCGGAGATCGATCTGATTCATCTAACTACCGTCCCATTAGTCTTCTTCCTGTCATAAGCAAGGTTTTTGAATCTTTAATCAACAAACACTTAATCTCTCATCTTGAATCAAATAACTTACTTTCTGATCATCAATATGGATTTCGGTCTTCTCGTTCTACAGCTGATGTGCTAACAGTAATAACCGATAGGTTTTACCGTGCATTAGATAGAGGTGGAGAGGTTAAGGCTATCGCACTTGACATTTCTAAAGCTTTTGATAAAGTTTGGCATGCTGGTCTTCTCCATAAGCTTTCTTCTTATGGTGTAGCTGGTAACGTCTTTAAGATTATTGAGTCCTTTCTTTCCAATCGTAGTATAAAAGTTGTCCTCGATGGACAACACTCTTCTTCACACCCTGTAACTTCAGGGGTTCCTCAAGGTTCAATCCTTGGCCCTATACTCTTTTTAATTTACATTAACGATCTTCCAGATATTCTCACATCTAAGGTGGCATTATTCGCTGACGACACTACCATTTACTCTTGTCATGATAAGAAGCCTACACTCTCTGATTGCTTGGAAGGGGTATCTGAGCTTGAAAAGGATCTCACTTCTGCTACAGCATGGGGCTCACAGTGGCTGGTGAACTTTAATTCAGATAAAACTCAATTTTATTCGGCCAATCGTTATCGTAATAATTTAGATCTTCCTATATTTATGAATGGTAATGTACTAGATGAGTCATCTACCATTCATCTTCTAGGATTAACTCTTACTTCTGATCTTTCTTTTAAACCGTATATCAAATCCATTGCAAAATTAGCATCTGCTAAGGTTGCATCTCTTTATCGAGCTCGACACTTTCTTACTCCAGATTCTATTCTCTATCTCTATAAATCTCAAATCCGTCCCTGTATGGAATACTGTTGCCACATCTGGGGCGGATCTTCTAATGATGCTCTTTCTCTTTTAGACAAGGTGCAAAAACGAATTGTAAACATAGTTGGACCTGCTCTGGCAGCCAATCTCCAACCTTTGTCACATCGTCGTAATGTTACTTCTCTTTCTCTTTTCTACAAATACTATAATGGGCACTGCTCTAAAGAGCTAGCGTCCCTTGTGCCATCTACTAAAATTCATTCTCGTGTTACTCGCCATTCATTTAAGTCTCATCCTTTTTCTGTGACTGTTCCTAAGTGCTTCAAAAACTCTTATTCTTCTAGTTTTTTTCCTCGAACATCAGTTCTTTGGAATTCGCTTCCTTCATCTTGCTTTCCTGATTCATATAATTTGCAATCTTTTAAGTCATCAGTCAATCGTTATCTTGCTCTACAGATTTAGTCTTTTCTCTTCCAGTAACTTCCAACTCTTATAGTGGTTGCTTGCAGCCTTGTTGGAAGTGAAGATGTTAAAAAAAAAAAAAAAAAAAAAATATATATATATATATATATATATACGTGTATATATATATATATATATATATATATATATATATATATATATATATATATATATATAGGTGTATATATATATATATATATATATATATATATATATATATATATATACGTGTATATATATATATATATATATATATATATATATACGTGTATATATATATATATATATATATATGTATATATATATATATATATATATATATATATATATATATATAAATTGGTATGTGTATTCCAAAAATAGATGTTGCTCTATGCTTTTAAAGAACAGAACATATATTGGACTATTTCTTTTTAAAAAGTTTGAAAAATAAATGAGTTAATAAGTAATTTATTTTAGTATATCAAACCTGTTTAACATACTCAAAATATTTTTTTTAGTGTGATGCTTTCAACCATTCAATATTTTTCAAAGGTTTACATAGATAACTTTCTCCAAGGTGATAATTTCCAATTGCAGGTAAGTTTTTTTATTTTATTTGATGTTTTTTGAAAACATCTTTTTAGCTATGGGTTAACTAGTTCTAACTTGGTGTATTGTTTTTAAAACAACCATCTTTATATTTATAGTTATGGCTCAACTACTTCCAACTTGGTGTATTGTTTTTAAAACAACCATCTTTATATTTGGAATCTTTTTCTACATCTAAAAGAGAAAAGATGATTTCAAGGTATTTATTGTCTTAATTTCTTTATTAATAATAAAAAATTTTAAATTAGACATTTTTGAAATAGTAAAATTTAAACAAAGTAGGAAAATAAAGTAATGTAAAATAAAAATATATAAAAAAAATCATTTAGTAAAATATTTTTTTAAATTCACAAAAAAATGTTATTGAAATTAATTTATTTAATACGTATTATATCATTTTTCTTTTTATTAAGTTTTTATTATTTATATTATTATCTATTTCATTATACAGTAGCTTTCATAAATTTAGACGCATTCATTTTTTTTTCATATATGTAAGAAAATACTCAAAATAAAAATAAAATAAAAGTGCTACCGCTATGTTTGATATATAATTTAAAAGAGGAAATGAAACTCTATTATAGAGTACCTTAATTTTTTTTACAGGATGTTTATTACTCATTCTATACCAGTTAACACAAAAAAGTTAATTGATAAACTTGATTTTATTTTGTTCATAAATTTAGACGCACAATCAAAAAAGTCTTATATCTTGTTAATTGATAGTTAATTAGTAGTTTTTTCCCATATTTCTCATTAATAGGCCTAAATTAATTGATTTTGTCAAAAAACCTTATATAAATATGACTTACCTGGAATTAGTTAATCATTATTTAATAAATAAACAAAAGTTAAGTTAGTTTTGCACTAAAAAGATGCGAAAAATGGGCAAAAGGCGTATCACTCAAGGTGAAAGATGGCAAATTATTGTGCACATCAAAGAAGGAACTAAAAGTAATAGAGAAATCGCCAAGTAAATTGGAGTTTCTGAAAAATGCGCTCGGACAACGAAATAAAACTTTCTTCACACTGGTGGTGCCAGCGAGAAAACGAGGCCAGGTAGACCCTTGTCAACTACCAGAAAGGACGAAAGTGTTCTTTTCAGAGCTAATCCAAGAATTAGTTACAAAGAATTGACCACAGAGTTCAATACAACCCGAAATATATCTATTTCTCAAAGCACAGTCTACCGAATACTTATCAAATACAAGATTGGAGTCTACACTGCTTTGAAGAAACCGCTTTTGCGTCCATATGATAAACATAGACTAAAATGGTGTCGTGAAAGAAGGTATTGGACAATAGAACAATGGGAAAACATTATGTGGAGTGATGAGAGTAACTTTGAGCTTATCAATCGCAAATCTAACATAGCAGTCAAAAGAAAGGATCACAAAAAGTATTACGCCAGGTACATTAGACCGACTGTACAAAGTGGAGGAGGCTCGATAGGAATCTGGTCATGCTTCAATTACAAAGGTGTTGGTATGTGCCAAACATACATCGGAAGAATCAACTCCAGAATATACATAGAAGTACTGGAAAACAACCTAATTCTATCAATTGACCTATGATAAACCATGGAAACTTCAACAAGATGGCGCTACTGCACATACTGCAGACTATACAAAGGAGTGGTTCAACAATAATAATATAATGACAATACCGTGGCCTCCATACTCACCTGATTTGAATCCGATTGAAAACATTTGGGCTTGGATTGTCCGTGAATTAGCAAAGGTTCAAATTTCCGCACTTGGTCAGCTGAAGGAATTCCTCAAGGAGACCTGGTATGGGGTTTCAGAAGCGATGTGCAAAAATCTTGTTCAGTCTATGCCTAGAAGAGTTCTTAGTTGTATTAAAGCAAAAGGCGGATACAAAAAATATTGATTGGTTCATAAATTACGCCTTCTAATGTATCGTGCGTCTAAATTTATGAATAATTTTTTTTGTCTAATTTTTTTAATACCTTGTAGTTGTACCTAATTATTACTTAGTATTTCATTTTTTTTGTAACCTTTTTTTAAATTCTGTATTCTGTATGTATTTATCTGATAAATAGAAAAAAAACTAAACCAAAATCTTTTTTTGTCATTGTTTTATCGTTAAAAATCTAAAAATTTCTATTCTCAAATATGAGTGTGTCTAAATTTATGAAAACCACTGTATATACTATCCACTTTTGCATATTAAATTTTCCTTGTTTAACTATATATGCAAAACCATTTCACTAACAGTAGTTTTGCAATCCATGTATAACATGTACTTAGCCCTACTTATTTAAAATTAAAGTTATCAACATACTTACTGGTGTCTTGTTACTCAAAAGCATTGATGTTCTTTGTTAAATTGATCTTACTGCACTTGTAAAAATACATTTTTTTACAACTTTTGTAAACAATTTTATTGTACAAAAACAAATTAAGTGTAACACAATTTTTGATAAAATATTTTTGCTATTTTTGTATATTTTAGGTATGGTGATATGAGACTCATAATGGCATTTGAAATTTTAGACATGTGGGATTTGTTAGGTAAATATTGGATATAAGATTTTTTAGGTTTCTAAACATGTTGTAAATAAAATAATGGCATATAATGATTATTATTTAATGATATTTAAAAAATATAATAACTCGCTTCCAACCATAAATTATCAAGCTGTTGTTCTTTGCAGTACTTTCTACATTATTATTATACAAACCTATTATTATTAATATTGATTTTAAAAATCAGCTTAGAATTATTAATTTCAAAAGTTTTAACTTATCATTCTTCATGATAAGTTAAATAATGTCCCTACAAAATTTTACGTGATCAGTCCCCACAAAATATTTTGTGATCAGTCCCTATCATGATCATGGTCAGTCCCCGTAAAATTAAAAATGTTTTTTACTAAAGTAGCTGATTCAAAAATTTTAAAAAAAAGAAATCATTTGTAATATTAATAATTTTAATTTTTTTAAATATTAACGAACTATAGCAACTTTAACACAAGTTTAAAAACTGCTATAAAAACTACTTTGACATACATGCATCATTTATGCTACTAGAAAAATCACATGTCCCTAAAATATCATTAAGCCTAACCAAGATATGGTAAAAAATGTTGTTCTATTTTTAAAACCTGTAAATAAAGCTGGATGTCCTGTACCTAGAAGGCCCCAAAAAGAAGTTCTAAAGCAAATTCCACATGTTAAGCGCCTGGAGTAATTAGTCGTAGAGAATCATGGAATAGGTCTATCATTTATACATCTATTTTGTCAAACAATAGGTGTTTAAATAAAACTGTCTAACAATAGGTGTTTAAATAAAGCTGTCTAACAATAGGTGTTTAAATATTGTTGAGCCAGTAAGTATATACAAAAAAAAATCTTTAGCCAAATACAATGATCTTCAAGTCCTCAAGAAATTCATTTTAGCATCTGAGTTTAATGACAGTTTAGTACTAATGATGATCCCCTGGATAAACTTTTAGATGGTTAAAATAAGACATTAGAATTGGTTTTATTACTTTTTAAATAAAAAATAGTTCTTCATTTTATACAACAACAGTTTCATTTTTTTATTTACTTTTTTTTTTCTTATGTATTTTTATTTTTTAATTTGTTTTTTATTTTTGGGTATTACTTATATATATATATATATATATATATATATATTGGGTTTTGTTTATATATGCTAGTTCTCTGTGCCATGGCATTATTTAAGAAGGTTTCAAAGAGCCTATAGCCTTGTTTAAGAAGGTTTGTGTTTCAGAGAGCCTATAGCCTTGTTTAAAAAGGTTTGTGTTTCAGAGAGCCTATAGCCTTGTTTAAGAAGGTTTGTGTTTCGGAGAGCCTATAACCTTGTTTAAGTTTGTTTCAGAGATTTGATAAAAAGAGTTGCAAATAATATGTTAAATAAAAATTGAATAACCTCGTTTACCTCATGTACTCTGGAGCCTTAGAGAAGTGAATTAATGAAATTTAAAAAAAAAAAAAATTTGGTTTTTCTCTTTTTTATGACATTTTTTAATAGATTGTTTGATATACATAGAATAAAGTAAAAGTTATATATTGAGTTTTGTTGAAAATTCTGTTAAATTTATACCAATTATTTTTTAACATTTTGAAAAAGTTGTGTTGAGTTTTGTTTTGTTGACATGTGTTTGTTATGTCTGTGTAACTTTTTAACATCTTTGTTAAGTTTTTTTTTTTGTTGAAGTGTGTTTGTTATGTTATTTCTAAGTCTTTACTGTCAGTTAATACTTTTATAAAAAAAATTTTTATGCAAGGTGATAAGAAAAAACTTTTTATACCAAATTTGATTGGACCATTTCTGGAAATGTCATTGGTACCTGAACCAGGTAAATGTTTTTGCTATGTCTTTTCAAAAACTGAAAGTAAACTGTTCAGTCTAACTGTAAATGGAAAAAATATTTTTTGTTAATGTTTTTATGCTTAATCTTTTAAACATAAAAAGTTTTTTAAAACGGATTTTTAAATATTTTTAACTGTTAAATTTATTTTTAAAAATTTTAATTCATTATTTATAATTAGTCTATTAAAAAAACTCTGCCTATAATAATTTTATTAAAAAACTAATTATGACAAACAATATGAGATTAAACTTAAAAATAGTTAATTGTTTACTTGGAAGGAAATTTCCTTAGACATATTAACATAATACAAACATATAAGACAAAGTAAACAATTAACACATTACAAACATATTAGATAAAGTAACCAATCAACAAATTACAAACATATAAGACCAATCAACACATTACAAACATATAAGACAAAGTAACCAATCAACACATTAAAAACATAAGACAATGTCACTAATTATCAAAAACATAAAAAACAAGCTAATCAACATTAAAATTAAAAAATTGAAAAACAAACAAACAACTAATTAAGATTGCACAAACATAAAAGACGATGTAAGCAAAGAGCACAAAAATAAATTAAAATTAACATAACAGAAACATAAAGTATTAAAATAACTCCTCAATTTTTAAACTGTTATGTAAACAGATTTAGTTTAATGTAAATTTTTATTCTACACAAATTCTAATTAGATAATTCTTGGTTTTATCAAAGCATTTTTGTTTATCAAATATCATTATCGTCAAATATCAAATTATACTATTTAATAATGTATTTGATCTGTAAAGATAAAATCTAGAGACAAATTCGGATAATCAAGAATGCATATGATCTAGAAAATTCTTTTTAAAGATTAAGAAAATGCTGTAATAATTGTGATGGATATTTTTAATATTATCAACAATGATCTGTAATCTTGTGATATTTACTTAAAAATACCTGATATGTAAAATTTAGTAATGTTTATAAACACAAATTTTTTTAGAACTTAGGAAGGCTACCATACCTGTGTTTTATGATATGATGAAGGTGGAATATTTTTTAGGGTCTTCATTTAAAAAGGTAAAGTTATTTAAAATTAGAAATTAACATATAAGTAACCAGAAAAATTTTTTTTTTTAAGGATTAACAAATTTACATAAAAGGATTTAAAAACATAATTTTATTTTTTATTTAAACACTAATTTTGTTTAACCTTTTTGCGACCAAGTAAAAGACTCCACCTAAAATAGTGAATTAAAACCATGATTAATTATAAGGTTGTGAAACAAAAATTACTTGCCAGAACTTCACAAATAAGGCTCTATTTTTTTTCTCAGAATGTTAACAGAATGTTAGCTCTATCAGTTAGACTTTTTTTGTGACAAGATTTTGTTTTTCAACATATCCATAGAATAAACAAAGTAATCAACAAAATCTAAACAAAAAAAGTTCTATATGTGAAATGCTATATGTGAGCATGATGTGTTTAGGTAAGTTTCTCTTTTCATTTTTAAATAACTCAGCGGGTATGGTTATATGAATTGTAATGTAAAAATTATTAAAACTACAATAACAATTTGAACATTAAAAAGCTATTTCAATATATCAATGTTGAAATAGCTTTTGAAATAGTAGGTGGTATAAAATATTTATTAATTGTTAAATCTTTTAGTTAACATGTAAAAACTAAAAAACCACAAGTATAAAAATTTTTTTTTTTTTTTTTTAAAAAAAAAATTAAAACTATGCAACATGTCTTTCCCATATGAAGACCCACTTCGATAAGTCCAATGGAAATTTAAACTTTTCTTATCTGCAGCACAAACCCTCTGAGGTTTCGAACACTGTTTGAAATTTGTAGAGAATTTTAACCAGAGCAATTATTCTTAGAACTTTTTACAATCTTCCTGGAAGATCATTTCTTTTTTGAGCTAACTTAAGTGCTTGGTACAGGATTAGTCATATTTCATATTCATTATCTTACTCAGGGATGCGGAGTTCTGTCGCTTTTTTGCGATTCCGGATTCTGATCTCAAAAGTTATGGATTCCGACACTTGGCTATGGATTTTTTTTTTTTTAATTAAATATGTGGCTTTTGTTATCTGGAACTTTTGTTTAAAGCCATATCATCATAAAATTATAAAAAGATTTAAATATTTAGTTTCATTAATACATGCATAAAGTTACAAGAAAAAATTATTACAATATCTACTTCATCAAAAAATATTCAAATAAAAAATTTGTTTTTTTCATAACAAAAAGCATATTGTCAATCAACTCAAAGGTAAAGCAACTACAATGGTCTGGAGTCATGTGCTTTAAGACCAAAAACAGTTGTCCAACATTTACTTGGAATATAGGTTGCAATAAAGCAGGTATCTCGTAAAACATCAGAGAATAACTCAATCTTTTTTAATGGGTTATTTTTTAAAAACTCTTCTAGTTTGGAGGAGAAGTTGAGAAGTTGTCTTTAAACATTGTTTATAAAAACAAATTCTGGAATTTGTTTTTATAAACAAATGAAAACTGAAGCTTGAAATTCTGTTTCAATTATATCTAGTTGAATCTACATTTGTTCTTTTAAAGAATTCTTTTCTATTTCCTGTTCACATAGCATAACTAAATTTAGTTCTCGCTTTGCAACTGGTGAAGCATTCTCCTCATTTTTTGTATTGGATTCTGCTACATGAACTGCAAAAGAGTGGCATAATATTGCGTTTTTAGTTTTGTTGAGTTGATCAATCTTGTTTTTTGACCCTCAGTTGCAGCGATCTATCTATTTTTTGACCCTCTAAATCTAAAAGTATTTCTATTTTTTTGAATATTAGTTTTATAAAGTTAAATAAATAAAAGTATATAGTTAAAGTTTCACTTAAAAAAAAACCTTGTCTTTAGTCACTGTCAGCATACAGCAATGTCTAATATCCACGTAAACTGCTGCAAGAAACTGAAAATTTTTGGCATAGCATGCTTTCTCTTTTAATCATTCCTTTTTAGCAATCTTTGTTTTAGTCACTGTCTTTTGTGTCTAGTTCGCATTTGATTGAATTCCAAGCAAAAAGAAATTCACCTGCAGTGATATTTTCATGCTGAAGACCAATTCTAAAATTGCCATTTGCAAGGCATCTTTTATTTCCACCTAGATGCCCCACAAATATGGTTTCACATTAAATTCTTTAGGAACTTCTCTTTCCGTGTTCAGATTTTGAATTACTAGTCGAATATAGAAAAACAGAAGAGTTTTTTAATGATATATACGAAGTTATTAACTACTTAAATAAAAAAGATTAATAAAGAATTTTTTTTTTTAAATGTTAATTTTACCTCCCAAAGGCCAAGAAGGCCACTACAGTCAAGAAGGCTACTTATGTTGTGATTGCAACCCTCAAATCTATAACTCCGAAACATGAACCTTTATGAAGAAGGCTGTTTTGCGGATAAAGAAGTTGAGTGCGGTACTACCAGGGACTTGAAGGGGATCAAACTACTGATATTAGCATAAATGAAAATTTAAAAAGTAATGAAAATGTAATTAACATTGAAATAATTGGATTTATATTATACCAGTTGGAAAAAAATAAAAATAAAAATAGTTCTATTTCATTTGTAATAGCACTATACAGTTGGTTTTTCTATCTCATGCTCTCCAAAAAAGTCTCAACATTTTCAATATGTCTCGAAGCGCTCACCAGGTTAACAGTTTTCATCTGAAGTGTTTTCTTACTAATTTAAACTTGAATAAGACATCAGACCAAGTGACCAAACAGTAGAGGAACTTGAAATTTATAGTTTTCTTGGCCATTCCCATAGTGGTACATTTTCCGAAAGCATCAATCTTGAAATCTTACGTGGATTCATAGACAGCGTCATAGACAACATCAATATTGTATCGCAAAAGTTCAAAGGCTTCTATTTTGTAAATATACTCTATCTAAGGGTTGATTCAGAAATAATTTCCAGAATATTGATTAAACAGCTAATAGTTACCGAGCTTGGAAGTACTGAATTATGACAACAAGGTTTAGTGAATTGCTTCCACAAGGAAAAAATAATGCTTGTGGGTTATTGTCAAGGATTCTTTTTTTATACGCCTGCATTCCTTATCTTCATGTTTAATCCATTTTCATAAACCTGGCCACACATATTTTGTAAGGATATTTCTTTTTTTGAAACCATGTCTAACAAGCAAACTATCAACCTTTGCCCAGATGTATACAAGATCTAAAAAATTCAAGAAAGTGTTCCATCCTGTTTACTTCAGAGCTGTATAAACAAATAGAACAACAAGTATCATTTGTTTTTTACAACTTACATTAAAAGTGCAGTCAAGAATTATAGAATAAAATAAAGTTTACTGCAGTTCACACAACTCTTTATTATGATTGATAAAAATGGTTAAATATAAACCCAACACCCAACATAAATAGAACACAATGGTTATTAAGGCATAAATAATGATAATTTATTAGCTCTCTAAATTATTATTATTTTGTGCTTATTAACTAACTTAATATTCATAAATGCACTCTTATACAAATCTTACCTGCAATTAACTCTGATTATTGTTTAGACAGATTTATTAAATGTCTATGCATGTTTTTTGTCTTCTCTCTCCATATCTGAAATCCCGAAGATTTCTTTTTTGTCACCATGATGACTCACTAATTTATTTTTTCAAATAATTAACTAACTACTACTTTTTGCTGTAATTATTTTTTCATTGAAGTGCAGAGCAAATCCATACAAAATCAATAGTTTAAAAAATAAACTATGGCGCCCCTAAATGTAAATTTAGCTTAGTATTTGTACACATTACGGACACCAAAATTTATTTGAATATAATAATTATTAATAAGAATTATTTTAATATTTAAATATTTAAGTTAATTTTTTAAAATCATAATTATGAATCAAGAATTAAAAATTATGTCGGCTATCTCAGCGTTGCGCCCCAGACACCCTAGCGCCCTATGCAACCGCATAATTCATACCGCATAATGATTTATTTCTTATGACTATATATATATATATATATATATATATATATATATATATATATATATATATATATATATATATATATATATATATATATATATATATATATATATATATATATATATATATATATATATATATATATTATATTGTATGATATTTTGTATTTGCAATAAAATACAAAAAAACTCTTGAACGTATAAGAGTGCTCAATAATAAATAAATAGGATTTATTTATATTATTTAATAGAGCATTATATTAATTTATAAAAATAAAGAAAACAACTTTTTTTGGTACTAATAGTTTCATGCCTAAAGGCAATCATCAGCCATGTAATACAAAACAAGAAACCTTTTTTCTTTCTTTGTTTGTTTCTTGTTTTGTATTACATGGCTGATGATTGCCTTTAGGCATGAAACTATTAGTACCAAAAAAAGTTGTTTTCTTTATTTTTATAAATTAATATATATATATATATATATATATATATATATATATATATATATATATATATATACTCTTGCATGTCTCTTGCGTGGCATCAAAAAAAGTTTCCCATAAACTGTAGTTTTAAAGAGCGCGTTAATAAACCAGACCAGAAAAAGTTTTAACAAATAAATTTTTTTTTTAATTGATAGACTGCCTGGCCAAACCAAACCCTCAGTCGATGTAGCAGCACTCTCTTGCGAGTCAGGCTATTTGTCAGTCGATGTAGCAGCATTCCCTTGCGAGTCAGGCTATTTGTCAGTCGATGTAGCAGCACTCCGTTGCGAGTCAGGCTATTTGTCAGTCGATGTAGCAGCACTCCGTTGCGAGTCAGGCTATTTGTCAGTTGATGTAGCAGCACTCCGTTGCGAGTCAGGCTATAAGATAGTCGATGTAGCAACATTTACGCATGTTTAAAAAATGTTTTTTATTAAATCAATAACAAAAACACCACTAATTAAAAAAAACTTTCTAGTCGTTATAATTGCGGTTTTTTAAAATTTTTTTAAAAAACAATTAATTTTAATGTACTTCCGCATAAATTAATTGCTTTGACATTTCGATGACAATCAAAAACAGCTTAAGAGACGAGGTAATTAAAATTGTAGTCGTAAGAGACTTTTTTTACATTAAAACGCTCTTTCGACTACACTATAAGGGTATATATATATATATATATATATATATATATATATATATATATATATATATATATATATATATATATATATATATATATATATGTATATATATATATATATATATATATATATATATATATATATATATATATATATATATATATATATATATATATTAAAGTATATTTTAAAATATATTTTTTAAAACAAAAGAAAATTACCTTTTCCCCTTTTTAGTTAAAATCAAAAAGTTTCAAAAAATTTTTGTATTAAATATAAAATTTTTATATTAAAAATAATTAAAACAAAAGAAAATATCATTTTCTAACTATTAGTTAAAATTAAAAGTTTCAAAATAATTTTAGATTCATAAACAAAATATTTTGATTGAAAAGTATTCCATAGTATAATTTTTATATGTATGTAAGTAATATAATCCATTACTATGTAAGTAATCCATTACTGGATTATTTTTTGTGTTTTTTTATCTTGGATATTTTTTGATAGTTATTATTATAAAAAGTCTTAAAGAAAATAATCAGGGTTTTTGACTATGGTAATAAAATAAAAAAAATTCAAAAATCAAACTTTTCAAAGTAAGTGATAAAGTTAATAAATAATCAAGCTATTTATAAAATTTGTTTTTAGGTTGAATCAGAGTTCATTGAAAAACTAGAATTACTTTCAAATCAAAATAAAGGCGATCTGGAGTTTCAGATAATGTTCAATGAAATGTAATTATTCTTATTCAATAATTATCAATGCAATTCTTTTTTAAAAAAATTATAAAAATTATAAAATAATAAATTTTTTTTTTTTAAATAACTTTTAAAAATTCTTTAAAACTTATCAATGCAATTACTTAAAAACAAAATAATTAATAATAATAATTTATGGGTTTATTTAATCAAATTCTTTATTTTAACAGTATGACAGAAAAGTTTAATTCATCTGGAAATTCCACTTTTCAAGCTGAGGGGTTAAAGTCAGTTAACTCTATCACAGAACTTTTGCAGCGTTTACTTGACTATAGGTTATTATATATTTAAATTTTAAATTTGAAAATCGAACCATTTAAGTTTTTTATTTTATTTATTTATAATTTTAAATATAATCATACTTTTATATATTTTTTTACTTTTATTTTTGACAATAAGAGAAACAAAAGACGATGAGATAAACGCCGCACAAAAAATGATGTGTACTGTTCGGCTGCTTGTAAGTGTTTAAAATCTTTGCATTTAAATTTAAAAAGTGTGTATTAATGTCTGAAGAATGTTTTTGTTTTTTTTTGAAAAATTATAGGAATTTTATAAAGAACTTGGTAGAATAGATATGTACATTCGCAACATTCACAAGCTTGTAAAACTTCATTTATCATGTAGTAACTTCACTGAGGCTGGTTTTACACTTCTCTTGCATGCTTCATTATTAGAAGTTAGACATAAAAATTTCTATTTTTGTTAAATAAATATTTACTTAATTTTTACTTGATTCTTATAACATACTATGTCAGTCATAGATTTAAAAATCTTTTTCAGTGGTCAGACAAAGAACTACCTGCATTTTTAAGCTATCCGATTCAGAGGGAAGAGCAACGCAAAGAGCAAATTTATTTGGAGATAATTGAATTTTTTGACAAGGGCAAGGTACTTTCTTGGTTTTTAAATTGTATAGAATTATTAGATTTTTATTATTAGATAATTATTACATTTTTATACTTGATTTTAATTTTTATATTTTATATTTTAGATGTGGGAGTCTGGCATACGTTTATGTAAAGAGCTAGCAGTACAGTATGAGAGTGGTTTGTTTGACTATGTTAAACTTAGTGAAATACTGGTATATTTTTGTTTATTTTATAACTTATAAGTGAAATACTAATTTTCATTTATTTTATAACTTATAATATTTATGTTAGAGGTTAGCGTTTCCATTACTTGTAAATCTTCTATAATGAATATAATTTAAACTTTTAAAAATCTTTCTTGCAAAGGATGACACTTTTTTGACATGTTTTCTAATGTTAACTTTTATTTTATATACTCTTTCATGTTAACCTTTTTTTATATTCTTTCTAACCTTTTTTATAGATGATTTGTGATGTGGCTTTACCTTTTTTTAATTAGTCTGTTTGCACTTAAATGTAGGCAGAAATTTAGTTGATATAACATATAAAAGAATCTTATAAAGGTTGCAATCTAATAATAAGCAGGTATTAAATGCATCTGGCTACTGTCTTGTATAAGGCCTCCTTGGCAAAGACTTAAGGTGTAAGCAGATTCTATCTATTGACCAGCCTCATACCCCTTCTTCATCTATTAGGCTGGCGCTGATGTATTTTTAATATATTGTTTCCAGTTTAGAATGTTGAATGCTGGATCTTCTTGACTTGATGCAAACTGACAGTGCTCAGTTTCTCCACATTCACCCTTAGGTGCTTTGGATCACAGATTGATCTCTTTGAAACTATTATCTTATTCTTTTTCATCATCTGAATCCCCCTATCATTGTACCTTTTACAACTACGTGATTTTTGTCTAATGTCAAAGCCCGCTATTCTCAGGTCATGAAATCTTGTATTTCATCACAAAAATTAGGCTCTTGTGACTTCTGGAGAATCTTTAACAGTATCAATAATAAGGGCAAATTTGTAATTTCAACTCTCTTGTATGGTTCAGACTTTCTTACCTCACCTAAAGACAAAGCTGAATTGTTTGCTACGAACTTTTCATCAATATCATCTCTTAATTCCACTAGTTGCATTCTACCTGGTATAGCTGTCAAACAGGTTAACCCATTGCTTTACATTCGTATCACTCTAGCTTCTGTGGAGTGATACGATTTTTTCTGTGGAAATCTAAAGTGGTTTTCTGCTTAGACTCTTCTACAGCTTGTAGCCCGGACAACATACCTGTTATAGCCTTGCAGAAGTGTTCTCCAGAGCTGTCATCTATACTTTCAAATCTATTCAACAAGTGCTTATCAGAGTCTTTTTTTCTAGCGTGCTGGAAAACTGCATCTGTTATCCCTGTTTTCAAAAATTCTGGAGAGCGATCTTATTCGTCTAATTACCGTCCCATTAGTCTTCTTCCTATCATAAGCAAGGTTTTTAAATCTTTAATTAACAAACGCTTAATTTCTCATCTTGAATCTAATAACTTACTTAAATAACTTAGGTTTTATCATGTATTAGATAAAGGTGGAGAGGTTAATGCTATCGCTCTTGACATTTTTAAAGTTTTTGGTAAAGTATGGCATACTGATCTTCTCCATAAGCTTTCTTCTAATGGTGTATCTGATAATATCTTTAAGATTATTGAATCCTTCCTTTCCAATTGTAGTATAAAAGTTCTCCTCAATGAACAGCACTCTTCTTCTTATTCTGTAACCTTAGGAATTCCTCAAGGTTTAATCCTTTGCCCTATACTCTTTTTAATTTACATTAACAATCTTCCAGATAATCTCACATCTAAGGTGGCAGTGTTCGCTGATGGTTCTACCATTTATTCTTGTCATGATAAGAAGCCAACACTCTCTGATTGCTTGGTGAACTTTAATTTAGATAAAACTCAATTTTTTAAGCCAATCGTTATCGCAATAATTTAGACCTTCCTATATTTATGAATGGTAATGTACTCGATGTGTCATCTACTCTTCATTTTCTAGGAATAACTCTTCCGATCTTTCTTGGAAACCATATATCAAAACCGTTGCAAAATTTACATCTGTTGAGGTTGTATCTTTTTATCGAGCTTGACACTTTCTTACTCCGGATTCTATTCTTTATCTCTATAAATCTGAAATCCGGCTTTGTATAGAATACTGTTACCATATCTGGAAGCGGATCTTCTAATGATGCTCTTTCTCTATCATACTAGGTGCAAAAACGCATTGTAAACATAGTTGGACCTGCTCTTGCAGCCAACCTACAACCTTTGTCACATCATCATGTTGCTTCTCTTTCTCTTTTCTACAAATACTATAATGGGCACTGCTCTAAAGAGCTAGCGTCTCTTGTGCCATCTACTAAAACTCATTCTTGTGTTACTCGTCATTCAATTAAGTGTCATCCTTTTTCTGTTACTGTTCCTAAGTGCTCTAAAAACTCTTATTCCTCTAGTTTTTTTCCTCAAACATCAGTTCTTTGGAATTCGCTTCCTTCATCTTGCTTTTCTGATTCATATAATTTGCAATCTTTTAAGTCATCTGTCAATCGTTATCTTGCTCTACAATCTTGATCTTTTCTCTTCCAGTAACTTCCAACTCTAATTAGTGGTTGCTTGCAGCCTTGTTAGAAGCAAAAATGTTTAAAAAAAAAAATCCATCCATCACTCATAACAGCTACAAAATCTAGGCACAGATAAAAGGTTTTTAATTTTTCTTCTAATATTCCTAGTGTCTAATTTTTGCTGTATAACTACCTTCAATATGTTATACCCAGATTTTAACCTTCAATATATAACCCACATTTTACAAATCTTTAGAATTTACATATAAATAAACATCTATGAATCTTTTATTTTTAAGACTGGTCCATTTAACAATAGACACACTAAATTTTTTCATTTCCTTATTAATTCCTAATATTTTTCACTCGCTCCTTTTTCTTAATATAATAAAAACCTATAATTAATTGTTGTGCTTCACAGGAATTTTGTGGTAGCTTAAATAACTGCCACTTGCAGCCATACTATGTTGTATAAATTTACATTTAGCTATCTGGTTAAAAGAAAATGCCATTTTAGATATTATTTTCCCTCAAGTCCATTTTACAAATGTTAAAATTGTTTGGCTTCTCAATTGTCATTTTACTTGTTGACAAGATATCGATAGGGATGATATGAAACAGATGTTTTCAACTTCTGCTTTGCTTTTCATCTTTCTTTTGAATTTTGTGGACTAAAAGATGCGCGTGTAGGCCAGTAGTTGGCAAATTTATGCATAATAGTTGTTTGCTGCAATCGTTGCATATAGCATTATTTGGATCATGTTCTTTTTTTTTTGAAAGTTGCTTATTTCTGTTGATAAAAAACTAAATATATAAATTAAATATTTATATGGGAAGAAAGAATCTACGGAAAAGTTAGGTTTATAAAGTTTATTGTACCAACTATTTTTTAAGAAAGAATATGGAAGTTATTTAAAAAATTATTCAGTTTTTAATAGTACCATACTAATAGTTGATACCAGAATTACTGAACATAAATAAAAAAACATATTTATTGATAATTATTACTAATAGTTATCACATCATACAAATTACTTTATAACTACTGTTTAAGAATTTTGAATTGGTTTCCTTTTTTATACTATATAAAAAAAAAATATTTTGGAATATAGCAACAAGATTGAGGATGCGCAGGATTTGAAAAAAAATGTTTTAAAAGAACTTAAAATGGGTAAAAAAATAAATCAAAGTTTAACAAGAGAACAAAGAAAAGCTCTTATGGAAATTAAGAAAAACAAAATTATTAATATATATCCGTTTGATAAGGGTAATGGTTTTGTAAGAATAGAACACGATAAAGCTTTGGAAAAAATTCGCGAACAAATTGGCCCAACAAGAATTTTAAGTGAAGATCCCACATCTAGTTATGCTATTAAAATTAAGACTTATCTCTCACAACTTAATAAAAAACAACGATTTTCAAAAACAGAATATGATAGTATATATCCAAGTGATCCCATTCCGCCTCGTATGTATGGTCTAATTAAAGCTCACAAACCTGAAAAATCCTATCCTATGAGAATAGTTGTATCAACTATCGGCACTCCTAATTATGGAATATTGAACTATTTAGTAAAAAAAATACAACCTGTCTTAAACAAAAGCCAAACACGTCTGAAAAATTCTTTTGATTTTATTAGTAAAGCGAATTCATGGGAGATGACAAAAACGAGGTTCAAGTTTCATTTGATGTAATAAACTTGTATCCATCAATACCACTAAAGGTAGCCACTTTAGTTCTCATAGACCAATTAAATAAAGATGATTCCTACAAATGTTCTACCAAACTTACTATATCTGAAACAAAACAACTCATAGAGCTTTGTTTACACCGTTGTTAATTGCTAATTCTGGTCCTATAGGTCTTTCATTCATGGTCATACTTGCAGAATCATTTTTACAACATCATGAACAAAACGCTTTCAAAATTTCAATAGTAGTAAATCCTCCTCTTGACCTAAAATCCTATCTAAAATATGTCGACGATAGTCACGCTAGATTTTCCAACACTCAAGAAGCAGAACAATTCCTAACTATCTTAAACAAACAATACCCTGCAATATTATATACGATTGAAACTGAAAGCGAAAATAGAACTCTAAACTTCCTCGATTTAACCATAATAAATAACAACAAAGGAAAATACGAGTTTAAAGTTTACAGAAAGGAAGCCATAACTAATATCCAAATTAAACATCACTCAAATCATGACCCTAAGGTTCTAAACGCAAAATTTAAAGGTTACGTTCACAGAGCTTATTCTTTATGCAGTAATTTATATTTACAAGATGAGATTAATATCCTTATTCAAATGTTTAACGAAAATGGGTACAACATATACCAACTTAAACGGATTGCAAAATTAATTGGAAACAAACGGTCTCTAAAAATCAATAAAATTCAATCAGACTCTCTTAACATCCCTACTGTATCGTTGCCATGGATACCATCGCTATCCCCAAAACTAAGGAAAATATTTCGGAAAGCTGGCAATAGAGTAGTCTTCAAATCAAATCCAGATTTAAAAACATTACTGACGTCAAAAAATAAAACTAAATTACCACAAAATAGTCAACCCGGAACTTATTTGATTGAATGCAAATGTTCAAAGAGATACGTTGGCAAAACTAAACTTCAAATTAGGACTCGGACTCAACGACATCTAAAAAGTTTAAACGAGGCGAAACAGTATCAATCTGCAATAGCCACCCAAAATAAGTTTTGCTCACAAGAAATAAAGTGGGAAAACGTAAAAACAATTAAAGTTGAAACAAAAAAATTTGATTGAAAAGTGCGCAAAGCTCTTGAAATACAGAGGTTCCAATGTTCATCTATACATGGCAGAATTAATTTAGATAACGGGCAGTTTGTGAAAACTAAATTTTGGACTCTGTTTTTTACATTTTTACGTAAGCAAGAAAGAAGCCATTCAACTGCTGACGTCAGTTAATTTTAAACTGTTTCTAACGTTACAAAAAAATTTTATTGTATAATTTTTACGAGCTGATGATGCTGGTAACCATAATCCAGCGAAAATTTCTAATAATAAATTATTAATTGTATTAAGAGAATTTGTATTAGTTAATGTTTTCTGACTAATATAATATATATATATTTGTGTATAAATTTAAAAATACTGCCAACATTTTTTGTTTACAGCGACGACAGGCTTACTTCTATGATTGTATCATGCAGCAAATGAGACCTGCTCCAACATATTTTAGAGTTTCCTTCTTTGGTCGAGGATTCCCCCATTATTTAAAAGTAAAAATTTTTTTTTTCCTTTAATTATTCAGGAGTTAAATAAAAAAAAATTTTTTAGGATCAAGTTCTTATCTTTCGAGGACTGAAGCTTTATTACCCCCATTATTTAAAATTATTACCCCCATTATTAAAACTTATTACCCCAATTATTATTATACCTCATTATAAAAAATTATTACCCTAATTATAAAGTAAAAAATATATTTTTTCTTTCTTTAATTATTCAGGAGTTAAATTAAAAAATTTATTTTTTTAGGATCAAGTTCTTATCTTTCGAGGACTGGAGCTTGAAACATTAGCTGGTTTTACAGCTAGAATTAATCTTGAATTTCCCAGTGCTGAGGTGAAAAAACTGTGAAGTTTTGTATACTGTGAAGTAATAGGTATACTAGAGTTTATTGGTAAAAAGCTGCTTGATGTTGTTTTGTGCTTTTGTTACAGATTATGTCAAATAATGCTCCTCCTGAGGCTTCTATTGTTCAAGGAATTGGACAGCGTATCTTTTTACACAAAGTTGTTTGAAAAAACGCTTGAAAAAATATGTTATTGAAGTATTATCTTATGTGTTTGTTTTTTTTGTTGCTTTTTTTTTTTTTTTTTTTTTTTTAAGTACTTTAAAATTTATTTAAACTTAGCATGTTAGATATTCAAATTTGTACAGTGATGCCTGTGCCTGGTGAAATTCAAATGTTTGAAAATAATTTAGTTAATGAAAAAATATCATGGTATGTTTTTTCATTGCATCTACTGCAGTTTTGTTATGATGACAGTATTATATTATATTAGTATTATTTAATGTTTAATTGATTTTTCCAGTTTTAATTGTGTAGTTAAATTTAATAATTTAATTATTTTTTATACCAAAAACATTTTATTCAATTATTTCTAATTATATAATTACTAAGAATTCATCACGCTTGAAAAGTCTTAAATAAATTTACAAACCGATATTTTAGTTGCTAAAAATTGTTTAAAATTAACTTGTGGTATTTCAAATTTCTGTTTGAGTATAAAATGTAACTTTTTAAAAAATGTAAAAATATAAAGTATGTCAGTGTCAGAAATCAGAAATAAAATGTCAGAGAAAAATTTTCTGAGAGCAATGGCAAATTATTGGAATTGGATTAAAAAAACATAGCTATGTTGAAATAGGAAAACTTATTCGCATTAGTGAAGTTTGCTACAAAAAAAAGAAATTCAAAAGCAGAACATAGTCAAACAAACCACTTTTATACTTTACTGCTTGTATAAGTTATACAAGCAGTAAAGTTATACAAAATAGTTAGACACTTTTGCATTTTTAATATTTTAATAATAAAATGTTAACAAATAAAACCTAATTATATATGATCCATTTTTGTCTACAACTGTTTGCCAATGTGTATGTAAAGAATCAATGTCCTGTGAATAGAACTCTTTAGGCTTAAAGACAAAAAAGTTGCTAAGTTATGCTTTGAGGTCATTTTCAAAATCTTTACCACCTAGATCATTGCTTAACAAATGAAACAAGTAATCAGTCAGGACTAGATCAGATAAATAGTGTGGGTAAAGTATCTCCCAGTTAAATTCCAATATTCTTTACCAGACAATGACATAAAATAATGGTATGGAAATACCCAAGAGTAGCAGTTTGCCATGGGTTGCTCTCAATTAGCTCTTTTAATTAGCCAAAATTGAAATGTATGAAATTTGATGCTGTAGCTTGTGACACAGAGGCCTGAGCTATTGCACTACTAATATTTTGAGAAACTTCTCAGGTTTAATGGCATATTTGGTATTCATATAGCTGACAATGTCTAATATGGCAAACTAAATGTGTTCTTTGATAGCAATACTACCTCAACAAATGGTAACAACTTTTATGATGTTACATAATATACTTATTGTTACATAATGTAACATTTTGCAATTTATACAATCTGTACATAATGCTAGGTCTTAGTTGGAAAACCTTTTGCAACATAGTTTATACAATCTGTACATAATGCTAGGTCTTAGTTGGAAAACCTTTTGCAACATAGTTTATACAATCTGTACATAATGCTAGGTCTTAGTTGGAAAACCTTTTGCAACATTGCATCTTTGTGGCATTGAATCATTGCAGTATTTCATCTATATGGCATTGAATCAACTCAGTTTCCTCTCAAGTTTGTTTTTTTTTTTTTGTTTTTTTTTATTTGCATTCACTCCCAACAAGGCTGCAAGCAACCACTATTAAGTTGGGAGTTACTAGTAAAAAAAAGAACAGAGTTATAGAGCAAGGAAACGGTTGACAGAAGACTTGAAAAGTTGAAGGTTGTATGAGTCAGGAAAACATGAAGATGGGAGAGAGTTCCAAAGGATTGAAGTGCGGGGAAAAAAACTAGATGAATAAAAGTTTTTTGAGCATGCAGGGACAGATACAGTAAACAAATGAGACTTAGCTGAATGACGAGTAAAACGAGAATGAATTTTAGTTGATGGAACTAGAGATGATAACTCCTTTGAGCAGTGACCATGATAGTATCTGTAGAAAAGAGAAAGAAATGCAACTTTACGACGATGGGAAAGAGGTTCAAGCTTAGCAGATAGTCCAGGTCCAACAACATTTACAATGCGTTTTTGGACCTTGTCAAGAAGAGAAAGTGAATCGTTAGAAGAACCAGCTCAAATATGACAACAGTATTCCATACAGGGACGAATAAGAGATTTTTAGAGGTAGAGAATGGAATCAGAAGTAAGGAAATGGCGAGCACGATAAAGAGAAGCAACCTTAGCAGAAGCTAATTTAGCAATCGATTGTATATATGGTTTCCATGAAAGGTCAGTAGTAAGCGATAATCCAAGAAGACGTAAAGAGGACGACTCAGTAAGAGGATTGCCATTCATTAATATAGGAATGTTGACCATATTACGGTAGTTGTTTGCAGTAAGCAACTGGGTTTTTTTAGAGTTGAAATTCACAGGCCACTGTGAACCCCAATCTATTACTGAAGTGAGATCGGATTCAAGATCAGCTGCTTGTTCTAGGCGATCGAAAAGAGAAGACTTTTTGTCAAGACAGGAGTATAAAGTTGAGTCATCAGCAAAAAGAGCTACTTTAGATGAAAGGTTGTCAGGAAGATCGTTTATGTAGATAAGAAACAAAACAGGGCCCAGGATGGAACCTTTGGGAACCCCAGAAGTTACTGGAAATAAAGAAGAGTGTTGGCTTTCAAGGGTGACTTTAATAAACCGGTTAGAAAGAAATGATTTGATAATCTCAAAAACTTTCCAGAAACACCATATGAAGCAAGCTTATGGAGAAGACCAGCATGCCAAACTTTGTCGAAAGCTTTAGATATGTCGAGAGCAATAGCCCTAGCCTCCATCTAATGCACGATAAAATCTTTCAGTTACAGCAGTTAGCAAGTTGGCCGTAGAGCAAGAGGATCGAAAACCGTATTGATTGTCTGAAAGTAGTTTATTTGACTCAAGATGAGATGTGAGGAATTTGTTGATCAAAGACTCAAAGACCTTGCTAATAACAGAAACAAGACTGATCGGACGATAATTGGAGGGGTCAGAATTTTCTCCAGAGTTTTTGAATATTGGAACCACAGATGCCATTTTCCAACAAGCAGGAAAACAAGACTCAGTCAAACACTTGTTAAATAGTTTAGAGAGAATTGAAGAAAGTTCTGGAGAATAATTCTGCAAGACTGTGACAGGAATGTTGTCTGGACCACAAGCTGTAGATGAGTTTAATTGAGATATGACTTTAGCAACAGAAGCCGGAGTGATTTGAATTCCTAACAATGGGTCAACCTGTTTGACTGGAATGGAAGGAAGAGAATGTCCATAAGATTCAAGAGTGGAATTAGAAGAAAAGTTCTTTGCAAATAGTTCTGCCTTATCCTTGGGAGAGGTAATAAGATCAGTCCCATGAATGAGAGATGGAATGTTAGATCTACCCTTGTTAATAATGCTGTTGAAGATTTTCCAAAAGTCTTTAGAGCCTAACTTCTGCGATAAGATGCGAGATTTAGTGAACTGAGAATAATGGAGTTTAGCATCAGAAAGCACCTTTTTACATCGATTTCTTGCAATAATAAATAGCCGTTTGTTCTCAAGAGAGTTGTTCTTTTGAAAAAGATGAAAAAAATGATTACGATTGGATAAAGCAGCCGCACAAGAAGGAGAAAACCATGGAGTATAATGAGGCTTGACTTGAAACCGACGCGAAGGAATAAAAGCTTCCATTCCAGCCTGAATCCAGGAGGTTACGTAGAAGGCGCATTTGTCAGCTGAGAGAGAAGAAACATCAGCCCAAGGACCATCACGAAGAAAATCACGAAAGGAATCCCAGTCAGCTTTAGGGTAGTAGTAGGTGGTGCGATGATAAGGTGAGCCCAAAAAAGAAGTACGAGAAGAAAGATTTATAGAGATCATTGCATGGTCAGAACCACCTAAGGGAGAAAAGGGAGAAACTGAACATAAGCTAGGGTCAGAGACAAGACATAAGTCAAGAAGTGAAGGTAAATGATTAGGGCTGTCAGGAAAACGAGTCACAAAGTTAACTATCTGAGTAAGAGATTGAGAAACGCAGAAGTTAAAGGCTTTAGTGCCAGCAGGATCAGTGGTGTTAGAGCCAATCCATTCAGTGTGATGGGCATTAAAATCACCAACAACAACAATATTGGCAGAGGGGTAAATAGAGAGGGCATGGTCAATTTGATTAGAGATAACATCTAAGAGAGTGCAATCATGTTCAACTCAAGCAAATCCTGTTAACTGTTTTTTTCTAATTTTTTCTTTTAATCTGTTTTTTTCTAATTTTTTCTTTTAACCTAAATATTTTTAATTGGGTTCAGGTCCAGAGATTGTGATGACCAAGACTTGAACTTTCTGTTGAACAAAAAGTCTGTGACTACCATGCTTCCGATCATGACTACCGTGCTTCCAATCATGACTACTGTGTTTCCGATCATGACTACCGTGCTTCATTATTGTGTTAGAATATCCAATCATAAAACATCTTTTGCATTTTTTTTCAACCATTGCTGTGCTGTCCAACTTAAATGTTCTTTAGGAAATTTTAGTCATGGTCTACCATTTTTTAATATTACTAAAAGTTTTTAACAGGACAAAAATATTGTCTTAAGCTGTTGCATAAAAGCAGAAAACTTGATTTAAATATATTAAAAAATTGATTATTAAATGTCACATAAATTTTGTAAAAACCTTTTTGGATCAAATCTTCTCTAACTAAAAAATTTACTTCAAACTTGAAATTAAATTTACATGTTACAAATTTTTATATAACTTTATAAAACCTAAAACCAAAAATTTATAAAGAATTTAAAGTTATTTCCAACTTCATTAGCTTCATCATTATCATTATTATTATTGTTATTATTATTATTATTGCTATTTTTATTATTATTATTATTATTGTCAACTAAACAGAAATACACGGGTTGTATATATGGTTTCAATGAGTGGTCAGTAATAAATAATAATCAGAGAAGATGTAAAGTAGTGGACTCAGAAAGAGTGTTGTTAAAGATGTAGAGTGGTGGACTGGGTAAGAGTGTTGCTTTTCATCAATATAGGAATATCAACAACACTGTAATAGTTATAAGAAATAATCAAATGAGTCTTGTTTGACTTGAAATTTACTGCTTTAAGTTCCAAGCTGTTACAAAATAGTAATTGCATTTATGATTATCTCCTCAATTTCTCCTAGAGGAGATATCATTGTTGAAGTCTCCTTGACGCATGTATTTCTTACCTCTAATCTTTAATGATGTACCTCTAAACTTTTTTCAGTCACATCTTACTTTTTCTATTGATGTCACCAACCAGCAGATTTAATTGGAAAAGTTTTTTAGTTTCTAAGCTTTACAATCTTTTTTACTTTTTATGATTATAACTTTTGCTTCAATCCACTATATTTTCTACTTGTACATACACACATGTGTATGTACAAGTGTGTATGTACATGTGTATGTGTACATATATGTGTGTACATGTGTATGTGTGTATATATAATCAAGATTTAAAAAAATTTTTTTTTTTTAGCTACTATAAATTCAATGAGGTTGAAGAATTTGTTTTCTCCAGACCATTCCACAAAGGTGAAAAGGACCGCAGTAACGAGTTTAAGGTATTTTACAACTTTATTTTTTTAGACTAAGGTATGGTAATCTCTTTTCTATTATAAATAATCAGTTTAAGTTTTAAAAAAACAATTCTGTCTTCTTTCTGTAAAAGATATGATGTTTTGGACATCTTATTAGGCTAATTTAACATAAAAATATTATTCAAAAATTCTGAGGTCTAGGAAGCTCTTTTTTGAAACTTTCTACATAAACCTACTTTAACCCAATTACTAATGTAAATTAAGGTAATGTAGTTATATTTAAAATATGAATTTATTAAATGCTGCTTATGAGAAACCTGGATCTTGATTCTTATTCAATCTCTCTGGAGAATTCTATTTTTATAGGAATTTTCTTTACCAATGTACAAAATTGGATCACATATGTCAAGAGAATCTAGAAGAAGAATCTTTTACTATTATCCCCCTTCATGATTGCATCAAGCTTACTTTTTTAATTATTTGTATTTTTGGATTTGTCTTTTGGTACAAAAGATTCTTTAGAAGCATGATAAATAAAGTTTTTCTCACCTACTAATATTATAGCTGTTGTGGACATAAAGGCATCCTCTTATAAAAACTTGCTTTAACTCTTTCATAGTTTCATATTTAAATAAAAAATAGTATTATGGGAACCATAAGGTCCCATAAATCTTTTTTTTTTTTAAATTACTGTAATAAAAAAATTCATCCCATGTTTGGTTTGAATTTTAAGAATTGGCAGACTTTACTCTGGTCTGTGTTGTTGCAGCTATTGTTATTTATTTTGAATTAATTGAGGTATTATTAAAATGTAAAATCAATACCATACTTTTAATACCTTAATTTAGTGTTTTTTTGGGTACACAAATTTTTTGTCACGCAAATTTTTTGTCACACATTAAACACTAGATAATTGGAGCAACACAATTTTTCTTAGAATAAATAAATACTTAATTTGTTTGAATTTTTTTTTATTTGAAATAGTCTACATAACCAAAATAATTTTTAAAAAAATGTTTTTTTTTTTTAATGAGTTCACTCCCAACAAGGCTGCAAACAATAACTATTTAAGTTGGAGGAAAAAGAGGTAAAGGGGGTTTAAACTGAAAGCAAAAAAAAAGGTGTTAAAGAGTAAGAAACAAAAGACTTGAAAATTTGACAGGAGCCTAGCATCAGATATTACTATTTTGCATTGATTTCTTGCAGCAATAAAAAGATGTTCTCAAGATAGTTGTTCTTGTCAAAAAGATGAAAAAAATGATTGATTCAAAATAAAGATGAAAATCATAGGGAAGAATAAGAATATAAAAATCATAGAGTAGAATAATGAAATATTCCAGAATTCAGAATTATTTTGTTAAAAAGTTCTTTACCATTACCATAGTTTTTTTCTCTACAGAGTGTGCAAGAGGCAAAAATGGAAATTTAAAAACCTTAATCTCTGATTAAATCTACTAGCTCACTCTGATTTTAAAAGTGAAAAGAATGAACACATTAAACAACTTCAATATATAGCAATTTCAATATTGACGTAATTAAGAGTAGCATTCAAAACTTCATTAAATAAATTCATAGTAAATAAGTTGTTTAATTTAATTAAATGTAAGGCTTTAGTATGTATAATGGATGATAAAAAGTATATTTACATATTGTAGTGGTTGTGGTACTGGTATGCTATCAGTGGTTGTGGTACTGGCTATCATTATGTCGGACAAGTTCTGTTGAAAAGCTTGTTTCTCTTTTACTTTTTGCTTTGCATTTTGTATTACCAATTTTACTTTGTATTTGGTAATATCAATTTTGTAATTTATTTTGCTTTGTATTTTGTAATATACAATCATACAAAAACATTGTGATAGTTCTTTGCAATTTCCATACTTTTGGAACAGCAAAAGGCATTGACCTTTTGCCATTCTGCTGGAGTAGTTTCATAGGTTCCACATATCATATGAGGGACCTATGTCTTACCTTGATCACCCATGTGCATTATAAAATATTTTCCACATGCTATCCACAAGATGGCACTTTTCAAAAACTTATGTAATACCTGGTTTTTCTTTATATAATTAATTAAAATACAAAAAATAATTTCAATATCCTCTATTAGTCGTTGTGAGAAGAACAATACATTAGATATTTAGGAGAAAATTATATATTTAGTAGCAGATAATATAATAACTTCAAAGATATAACATAACATGTTTCCTGAGATGTGACACACACATTCTAGAAAATATTTTAAGTTATAGTCACATCGCAGAAACATAGTGCAAGATAATTATTTGTCTTGTAACCTACTACTTCTCTTTCTTTGTCTATACTTAAACTGTGAGAGAAGCACACAAACAATTTTCCATAAAGTATATTGTTGGCGCTAAAAATGTTATAACTTTGAAACAGTTAATAACACAAAAAGGATTATTAAATTTTTGAAGTTAGCTAATTATTATACAATAAAGAATTTACAGTGGGTAATAATTTTGTAAAAATTTGTAACAATGTGTTATCAGACAAGTTTGATAAGTTATTTCAAATTACAGTTTGACATAAGAGAAATTTTTTCTTAAAAAACAATGTTGTAAATGAGAACTCAATAGTTTTTTTGTTATTATCTCTTGATATTTTTTATAAATTTAAATCACTTTATTTTCTTTAGTAAATTGTCACAACAAATTTTAAAGAAAAATCTTTCTGTTATGACCAAGTGACTTGTTATGTCCTGTTACATGTTGTGTTTTAGTTACTTTGTTAGGTGGTTTTAAAATAATTTTTATTTTGACTTAAAAATAAAAATATAAAGATATATTAGTTTATAAATACACCAAAATAACTTGTTGAAGATGATACAAAGTTTGAAACTTAATTAAATTATCTTGAAATACTAATATAATGATATTATTTTTTAATAAAGCATTTTTGAATTACCAGATATGAAAACAGGGTAGAATGGTGGTAGTAGTGGATAATTGTAAAAAAGTTAACAAAATTAAATAAAACTAGGATTAAAAAATAAATTAGGGATTTAAGACAATTCAAGTAAAAGCAGGTATATTTTTTTTATGCTTGTTGACATATAAACAATGCAAAATTATAGTTATAAGTATGGCTTAGTCATAAATATATTACAATATTTATATCATATAAATATATTAAAGTTTATATTATATATACAAAATTATATTTATTAAAATTGTTAAACAACATTTTTACTAGGGTTTCAAAAAATATTAACATCACCCAACAGTTAATGTAGTTACTATATGATTACCACAGCAACAGTATCAAACCTCTAAGGACCAGATTATTTGTTATTTAGACACTGTGGTTAGAAAGAACGATCCACTGGACAAGTCGAAAATTTCCGAGCATATTAAAATGGAGTACTATTGAATCAGTCAGAAAGGTATTCTTTGTTGTAACCACAAAAATGATTATAATCTTATACATCTGATCTGCAATCTGCAGGTTGTTATAAATTTTATGCAAGTTATTCTGAATTCGATCTGCATCATGTCTCTTCATGTTTAATTTGTTTTTCAATGTTTTCGTTTTGAAGTTATAGGATTGAATAAGAGTTGTAACATTAACTTTAAAAAAAAACTTTTTGACAGTTTTTGACAGTGGCTTCTTTAACCTTAAAGAGATAAATGCAATAAAAAAAAAATAATAGAGAATAAAATATTTTGTATTGGTTTTATCATGTATAACTTTTTTTTTTTTTTTTTTTTTTTAATGTTAAGTTTTGTTGCAATGTAGTTTTTACATTATCTTTTATTGTTTTAGTATTTTTTACATATTTACTTCCTTAAAACCTAGAAATACCACTAGAGTTGAGGGAGGTATTCTATTTTTATAGTTAAGAAAAGGACTCTTATTTTGAAAAGAATTTTTATTTTGTTACACTTCTTTCATAAACTTATAACTCCAAATAGAAACCTTGCCATAGAAAACTGCTTGGTGGTAAAACAAGTTAAATGTCATAATTCTAAGAATGTGTTGAGTTCAAACTTGGATCATCTTGTTTGTGAAATCTCTATCTCCACTTTTACCTCTTGCATAAAATTTTCATTCTTTGAAGTTGTGTTTAGAAGATTTCTTGATGTATGTTTAAGTTAATGATGCGTTGTTATGGTAACTAGTTAATATGACACAACAAGTCTTTCATTGTCTTAGCTAACATTACTTAGTTACCTGGATTATAAGCAGAAACTTATATTGACTCATGTATTTGTATTCATTCTCTCATGAGTTAAACCATATATTTATAATAATTCATTTGTTAGATAAAAGTCAAAAGATTTCGAGAAAGAAATTTTTTTATTTTTGTAGGTTGAACTTACTCCTTTAGAAAATGCTATTGAATCTATCATATCTAAAAATAAGGAACTTATTGAAATAATTGATGAATATCAATCAGATAGTTCTTTAAATTTGAATCGCTTAAGTATGGTTCTAAATGGTGTAATTGATGCAAATGTTAATGGAGGCATTGCTAATTACCAGAATGTAAGTTGTTCAATTACCCTAATATATAAGCTTTATCATTAAATTGTAATTATCCATTTTTACATATATTATTGTTGTTGTTGTTGTTGTTGGTATAATTATCTATTAATGCTTATTTTTTACAGGCATTTCTGAGCAATCAATATTTGTTTTTTCACCCAGAACATGAGTATACTGTGCAACAACTAAAGAATCATCTTTATGATCAGGTTTTTTACTTTATAAAATAAAAGTAATTTAATATCAAAGTTCAAAAAGAAATTTTTCTGTGTAAAAATATATTTTTTTTTATTTGTATATAAAATGTAATCAAAGTATATTTAAAAAAAATTATATTTTATGTTTTTATTATTAAATAGCTAACTCATTTTCATTTTAATTTGATATTTATGCTGCAGCAAACAATAGTTGAATACATCAGAAAATACTGTTATAAATTTTTTTATACCTTTATGGATGAAACTTAAGCATTTAAATTTACATAGTCAAAACTAAAACACCAAAAGATTTTTTGAATTAAAAATTTGGTTCAGATTTACGTAAAAGACTTTGTGCATTTACAAAGTCTACTTTTCTTAAAGAACTTGTTTAGTCTACAAAGTGTAGATTCAAATATAATTAATTAAATATTATCATTAATATTATTATCTAATATATTATCAACAAAGTGTAGATTCAAATATAATTAATTAAATATTATCATTAATATTTAATTAACTAATTAAGTTTTTTTTTCAGACTTTTAAGTCTGATAAAAAAAATTATGATCTCAAACTCTGTTTATCAAAAATATATTGTAATTTTTATCATTATGTATTTTTTCTTATTCAATAATATTTTTGCTCAACCAAATCAACAGCACAAATGCAACCAATGGTCTACATCAAATCAACAACACAAATGCAATCAATGGTCTACATCAAATCAACAACACAAATGCAACCAATGGTTTACATACAGCTGACCAACACTACCAGCATTGTAATATTTGAGTCAGATGTCTGAGTTGAGTCAGATGTCTGAGTTAAGTCAGAGGTCTGAGTTGAAAAATACTTAAATCTTTTATAAAGGTTTTCTAATATACTTGTTAACAAGGGTAAAAATAGATATATTCAAATACATATAAAATTAAATATAAGTTGTTTTTTTTAATTGAAAAATTAAAACTGTTTCTTTCTGCAATGCAGGTGATGTTGTGTGCCATATCTGTATCATCCCTTGTTACTTGTCAATTGTCCTGTAATATGGTGTTATAACTACAATTAGAGCATTTTTATGTGATCAGGGTTGCTTGGTTTGTAACTATTATTTAGACTCATAATTAGCAGTATATACCTATTCTTTATTAATATTAATCTTTACAATGACAATATAAAATTCTTGAGTAACAGAGCTAGTCATCCGATTCTTCCTTATTTATATATTACTCCAATGTAACTCCTGTTCCATGTTGGTTCCACACATTTTATTCTATGCTCTTTGTATTGCTTCTTGTTTTGAACACTCTTTTTTTCTCCCTTGTTTCAACACAATCTTGTTTTTTCTTTTCCCTAAACACTCTTGTTCTTTCTTTTCCTTGAACACTCCTGTTCTACTTTCCCTTAAAATTGTTTTCCAAATGTTAGGATGCTTTATGCTTGAGTGATAATTGACTTGTTTTCCCATAGACAAGACATGAGAATCTTTATGCTCAGGTGATCTTTTATTGTTTATAGTTTATTTGTTTTTACACATGAGTGAATGTACTTTTTAACAATTCTAACCTTACATTAAGGGAGAATGAAATTTGTAAGTCAATGGCTAAGTAAAAGGACACTTTTTTAAAAAAGCATCTATTGATAACACTTGAAAAATCAATAATAAAAAAATTTATATTCTTGCAATGATGTTGAGTTGTTGAGAAATTTTGAAGGTTATGTTGAGTTCAGGCTTGGTCAGAGATCGCACGCTTTTAATATGACCACGCAAATAATACTTTATTTTGACCATTTTTAATATTTTAAAAAATTTTTACTATTTAAAAAATGACCACGATTTTTAATATTTTAAAAATGCGCTGAAAAAAATTATTTTTAATTACGTCAAAAATAAATAACTTTAAAACTTTTATCTATATTAGCGAAATGCTTTTAAATAAAGTAACAGTTACTGTTAACGTTTTAATTTAAAGTATAGATGAAAGTTGTATAAATTTCATCTATACTTTAGAAATGAAAGTTTGTTGAGAAGAAAAAAAAAAAAACTTTTGAATTAAATTTTGCTCTTTTATATTATTAAAACGTTTTTAAATAGTAACAATTCACTGCTAATGATTTTTTTAATGATTTTTTTACATTAAAGTATTAATGTATTTTTCTTTCGTCTTATAATAATTATCGATTAAAGTTAATATCGAAATGTAAAACTTGAAATATAACATATTTTTTTGCAAGAACGCAAGTTGAAAAAAAATATAAATATAATTTTATTTTTATAATTTTTATGATTTTTTTTCTTTAGTCTTTAAATAAAAAAAAATGAATTATTAACAAATTAAATCAAATTATAAATTAAAGGAATAGTTTTGTTCATTATTTTTCATTTTCATCTTAATTTTTCATCATTTGCTTTCTGATATTGGATTTCTGACAAAAAAAAAGATTTAATTATTTTTCTTTTGTTTACATTACTATGAAGAATTGTAAAGTTTTTGTTGTTGTTGTTGTTATCTTTTAAATATGCATATTTGGAAGTTGTTACTTTGTTTAAAAGGGTTTCGCTATGTCTATATGATAAAGAAAAGACATGTTTTTTTTTGTTTGTTAGTCAGTCGTCATTTTTGTAAAACGCGTCCTCTCCCCCTGTAAAAAAAAAGTCATTAAAAAAAGTTTCTTTGTTAAGTTAAATTGTTTTTTTAAAAAATACCACTAATGCGCAATAAAGTTTTTTATAAAAACAAAAGTGTTTATTTACAATTTTTTGTCGATTAGTACTATTTATTTATATTTTAATATTAATATAATTTTATATAGTGTGGTAACAAAGCAGATGGGATACTAGTTTTACATTATAAAAACATTAGTAAAGATTCAAAGTTATTTATTTCAAACGTAATTATCGTATTGTTTATTATTTATTTTAGTTAATTTTTTTTTTAGTTTTTTTTATTTTTGTTTTAGTTATTTATTACTGAGCTATTTTTATTTTGTTTTTCATTATTTTTTTAATTTTTAATTTTTATTTTTATATTAATTTTTTATTTTTTTTTATTTTTTTTTAGTTATTTATTACTGAGCTATTTTTATTTTATTTTTCATTATTTTTTTTAGAAGATTTTATTTCTTTTGTTAAAATAAGTTTGTTTTTTTAGTTTTTATATAATTAAGTTAAATTTTCAGCGCTTTATTAGATGTTAAAACTGTGGTCAAAAAAAAATCGTCAAAAAAAATATTATTTGCGTGGTCATATAAAGCCGTGAAATTGCACACCTTCCTGACCAAGCCTGGTTGAGTTGCCACTTCTGTACCACTTTTTGGTGCAATAAAACTCTATGTTATAGTACTGCTTCTATGTAAATGCATTTGACAAAGCCAACTTTGCATTTGAAATTTTGGCATGGGTGCTGTTTAATATTTTGATTTGTTTAAGCCTAAAACTTTATGGCAATTTTTACACTTAAGTGTTTGCTGCTGTTGTTATTGCAGGAGTTTTTTTTGTTGCTTGATTTACTTATTGATCAACGTTGAAACTTATGTTGTTTAAGTTAGCTTCGCTGTTTTGTTGTATAATTTGTTGTAGTTTGCTTTACTGTTTTTTTGCTCTCAGCACTTTTTAATCTCTTGAGTATTTTAATTGTATTTAGATCTTGAGAATTATAAATGTATCCAGTGACCTCAAAATCACTTAGTTTACTCTAAATGTATCCAGTGACCTCAAAATCACTTAGTTTACTCTAAATGTATCCAGTGACCTCAAAATCACTTAGTTTACTCTAAATGTATCCAGTGACCTCAAAATCACTTAGTTTACTCTAAATGTATCCAGTGACCTCAAAATCACTTAGTTTACTCTAAATGTATCCAGTGACCTCAAAATCACTTAGTTTACTCTAAATGTATCCAGTGACCTCAAAATCACTTAGTTTTTTCTAAATGTATCCAGTGACCTCAAAATCACTTAGTTTACTCTAAATGTATCCAGTGACCTCAAAATCACTTAGTTTACTCTAAATGTATCCAGTGACCTCAAAATCACTTAGTTTACTCTAAATGTATCCAGTGACCTCAAAATCACTTAGTTTACTCTAAATGTATCCAGTGACCTCAAAATCACTTAGTTTACTCTAAATGTATCCAGTGACCTCAAAGTCACTTAGTTTACTCTAAATGACTTGGAGGTCATTATAAATTAAATAATTTTATTTGAGACCAGTAATTCCATAAAAATTGTTTTAAAGTAAATGAAGCAAAGTTTAAAACATTTAAATATTTTTAAAACATGAGCTTTCTTGATAAATGATTTAAAGTATTAAAAAAAACTGATAAAAAATTTAATTTAAATTTGTTAACTAACTTAAGTACGAAATTACATAAAACTTTTTATCTATTTAGAAAATAATAAAAACATTCGAAAATCTTTTTGTTCTCAACTTTCTCGCACACAAAAAAAAAAAGCAATCTTTAAAAAAAGAAGTAGATAAAGGTACTGACTGTATTTTTAAATTTATCTAAAGTTTTTAACATTTTTAGACAAAAATTGGCTAAAAGTTTTCAAGGCTCGAAGTAAGTGATCACGAATTGCGAAATGGAAATATTTCTGGTCCTCAAATACTTAGTTTATTAAAAACTGTGAACATCGTATTTCTAGTTTTATCTAATAATTTATCTAATGAATTAAAATATTAAAGTTTAAATCATAATTTTTAATAATAATAAAAAAAAAATAGTATTAAAATGTTTTTATAATAAAATTTTATATCATAATTTCAAGATCAATATAAATATTTTTTTATTGAATAGAAACTATTGAGTTTAGATGCAGTTTATGGTTTTTAAAAAATTAAAAATTTTTTCAAAACCATTAACTGACCAAAAGCATTTCCAGATAATGCAATTTGCGATCACTTAATTTGCCTTGGTTTTAGATATATTTAAAAAAGAGTAATTACTCAATTTGTCTTGGTTTTAGATATATTTAAAAAAAAGAAATCACCTAATTCAGTTTTAATTAAAAAAAAAAATTGACAGAATGAAATTAATTGGTTTATAAATTCATAACAGATGTACAATAAAAATCTAAGAAAAGTTACAAGGTTAAAAAATAGTGCACAAGTTTTCTTGTTTTTAAAATTTTTTTTTGCATTTTAGCGCTTATTTTTTTCTACCTTATAAAAAATATAGATAATATAAACACTAAAATAATTTTTTACAAATTTTTTTTTTTTTAATATTGCGATTTGTAAAAAAGTTTTTTTTTTAAGAAAGTTATATAAAAACAAGAAGATTTAAGAGTTTTTAAGCTTGACTGAAAAAAAAAGAAAAAATATTTAATGTTGAAGTTTTAAGTTTATACTAATTTATATTATACTAAGTTTATACTAATGTTATATTAATGTTATACTATGTTATATTAATATTATGTTATATTAATGTTATATAATGTTATACTAATTATACTAAGTTTATACTAATGTTAATGTTTTAAGTTTATACTAATTTTTATACTAAATATTTTTTTATTGTTTAAATATATTTGTTTTTTGCATATATTATATTTATATATACTTTCAGACAAAAATTGTTCAGCAAGGGTTAGAAATACACGAAAGTTTTGTTAGTGAATCCCTAAAACCTTTTCATGACAAAATGTTTATGATGTTCACAGCAATGAAAGCAAGTCTTGAAACTGGCGAATCAATGGAGGTTTTTGTAATTTTTATTTATATTCAAAAATATTTATATTATCAAACTTTTAAAGGTGCTCCTTCACAAAAATGTCAAAATAAATTAAATAAATTATTTTGACTTTTTTTGAAACTATTTGTTTATTTATGAAATTTATGAAGTTGTTTAAATATTTTTTAGAAAAATGTCAAAATAAATTTTAAAATAAATTAAAAAAAAATTCAAAATAGTTTTGTATTAAATTTTTAAATATTTCTTTAGAAAATTTTAAGTCGCCCTAACACTCTTCATATAAGCAGGTAATCATTAGTAAATTAAGCAGATATTTAATAATTAGTCAAATAAGCATAAATTAATTAATTCAATTATTATTCATAATTGTTTGTTTGTTTATTTTTGAATACATCTTATGTTAACCTTTAAAGTCTCTATGACATGTTATGCTGGTCCTAACAGTTTTTAGTAAATGTGACCACTTCATTTTAGAGCTTTTAAATCTATGATAACATTCCACTTACAATCATTTTACAGTTTTTTGTCTGGGACTGTGTTAATCAGCATAAAGATTTTTAAAATAAAGTGATAATAAGTTTTTTTAATTACAAAAAGTTCATAAATACATAAAAGAAATATATACAAATATACATTTTTGCACAATTCATACAATAAGTAAAAATGAACTTCTAAATCACTTTGGAAACATGTTAACATTTTATTTTTTTATTAAATATACATGCTATTGTTGTATACATTGTTATAAGAAACATAAAAAATGTATACTTTCTATGGCTGCACATACTTTACATGTATACTTTGCTTACACATGTATTCTTTGTTTACACAATTTGCAAAATTTTTTTTTAGTAGTTTTAATTCTGATCGCAATAATCAAAAAGTATCTCCTTTGAGTAATCGCTCGCCTTTGAAATCTTCTTCACTTATGATAGATTTCAAAAAAAAACAGGTAATGTTTATTTTTTAATTGTTCAATTGTTTGTTTTTAATTTTTTGAATATATATATATATATATATATATATATATATATATATATATATATATATATATATATATATATATATATATATATATATATATATATATATACTTTGTTCTATGTAAAAAAGAATAATACTAAAATATGTATAAAATAGTCCAAATGATTTCATAACATTTATATCATTGTTAAATTCTATTGTGGTCAGTGCTCTAACTATCATGGTAAGTGTTCTAACTATCATTCCTTACTCCATTATCCAAAACACTTTTATATGTAATTTTTCATTCAACACGGCTACATTTACTTTAACATGGTTGCATTTTTTTACTAAAACAGTTTTTTCATGTTCAAAAAACTTTTATTAAAATATTTTCCCTTAAGCATCAATGAATTGGAATTCTCAAATAGAATTGACAGTTTTTTGAATCTTTCTGTCAACTGGTTTGGTTGCTTGTAGCCCTATTAAAAATGTATATTTTAGAAATATTGTTTATAAAGATCAAAAGTTTTTTTGACTAAAATCTTTTAAGTCAAAATTTTATTCTAGTTAAGTTATTATCATGAAAAATACAAAAAATTAAAACTTGAGTTTTAGTTGAGACAATAATATAAACTAATTTAAACTAATATAAACTAATTTTTTTAAACACCAAGTTCAAAATAAAAACATTGTTTGAACGACAAAAACAAGCCAACTAACAAAAAATTGTTCTAGGTCAATTTAATTTGCTCAGTCTTTGTTAGGACATTCTAACCAAACCTCATAAAAATGAACAAAACACCCAACCCTTATAAAATGAACGAAACATCCGACCCTAATATAAATGAACAAAACACCCAACCCTAATAAAAACAAACAAAGCATCCATCCCCTATAAAAATGAACAAAACACCCAAAAAAATTTAAAAATGAACAATAGTATTATCAATAGAATGATAGTGATACTTTTCAGTTTACCAGAAGTTGGCATAAATGGCAAAAATAAACTCATTTAAAAAAATTTATATGCTCAAAAATAACGAAATTTATGTATATTATTCCATAAACAAAGAAATCGATTAGTTAAAAATTTAAGTTTTGTTTCAAGGTGATTTACAAACTTGTTCATGTAAAAAATGCTTTTTTGAAATAAAATGAAATTAAAAAAATACTCATAAAAATCAATTTCAGCTAATAAGCATAGTTTTCTTTGAATGTTTCTCAATAGTAGCATATTTGTTTTATTTTAGAAAGCTTAAAAAAAGTATTTATTTTTTTAAGGTTTTTTTTGTAAATTTAAATATGACAGTGAAAGTATGACTAATTATAATAAATAGTTACTATCAATATCCAATTCCAATCATTATGAAAAATGAAAAAATTACTTATAAATTGTTTCACACGTTGGAAAACAACTTGGTTAAATCAGTTACCAATCCTGGTGCTTATAAATTTACAGGATTCTCTGACATTGACTTCATGTTTTTTTCTAAACAGTTTAACAAAAAATGGAATAAAGTAAACAGACACAAGTATAGATTTAAGTTGCATTACAAAATTTGGTCAGAAAGAGAACTATAAACAAGCAATGAATATTTTAAAAAACATAATTGGTGTGTATTCCATACCAGGCCAGCAAGTGCCAATTCCATACCATTTACACTTCCTGTTTTTGAAACAATAAAGAAGAGAAAAGAAGAAAAAACCATCATTGCGGTTAAAAGAGATTTAAAAGCTGTTAAAAAAAAAAAGATTTAGAGTTACTAAGTGATACATTAACTTCTGTACTTTAGAAATTTTAAGTTCATCTTCTTTATTAAAAAAATATATTTTCAAATTTTTACATGAAAACTTTCTTAGTTGCTTGTATTTATTTCACTCTTCAAATTTATATTTTATAGGTGATGATATTTATATTCTACGGGTGATGATATTTATATTCTACAGGCGATGATATTTTCTTAGTTATATTTATTTTATAAATTTACGTTTTTACACCTTATACATTTGTTTTATGAAACGCTAAAATCAGAAAGATTGTGCTGTTTTATTAATTATATAGTCACAAAATATATATATACACATATATGTGTGTATATATATATTTTTTATATATATACATATATATACATATAATATTTATAAAACTGCATATTTTTCACAACTATAAGTTTCATGCTAAATGCAATCATCAGGTGTAAATATGTTTTTTTTCTCGTGAAAAAATAATAAATCTGTACAAAAGAAAATGAGTTAAAAAATCTAATCTTTTGGTTTGTGGTTGTCCAGCAAAACCTTGTTCTCATGGCGACATTTAGATATTAGTTCTTTTTTTTTTGTTTAATAACTCTTGAGAATTTTTATACAATAAAATAATTAGTTTTTCGTATAAGCATAACAAGCATTTTTTGGTTATGTTGTTGTAGGCGGGGGCATATTTTATGATGGACCATTTTAAGATGGGTGTTGTTTTTGATTTATTTTGTGTATCCCATAGATATTTTGAAAGCATGGTTGCATTTGTGAGTTTTTTATTTTTGAAGGATTGCTTGTGATTTGCCCATCTAGTTTTCTACACGCCCTCTGTTGAACCAATTTATGGTTTGTCTGGTGTGTTTGGGAATGATGCAATGCACTTATAAATTACATTTGTTTTTCTGCAGTTTCCATTCATAGGGCAGATTTTGCTTAGTTTACAATTGCAAGCTAAAGTGGCCGTTAGGTTCATCGAAATAACTTTATTGTTGTGGTTCTTTATAATTTTTGCTATGTTGCTTGTACAGCTATAGCTGAATTTTGTTGTGTTATGGTTAAATAGTTTATGAAGCGGATTTGGTTTTGGAAAGTGTTTGTTGATTAATTGTAAGAAGGTTTTGTCTATATTTGTGAGAACATTTTTATCGTATGGTGGGTTAAACCAGATTATATTTCTTTTTCTTTTATGATTGGGGGTTACTTTGGTATCAATTTTAGGGTTGTATTTGAAGCTAAAATTTTTGAACCCATTTCTTTTTAGTGCTTCGTCATATTCTGCCTTTGCCGAGTTGAATATTTTTTTGTCATAAGAATTCTGTGATAACCTATTGTTGATAGCAATTGTTTAATAATTTTTTTTTTTTTGGGGGGGGGGGATGGTTGGACTCTATGGATTTAAATAGGTTGCTATTTAGTTTTTTGAAAGGATGATATGAGTCTTTTTCGAGGTTAAATATAACATCTAATAAGTTAGCAATTTTTAGGTTTGTTGTAATTTCTATTTGGAAGCCGATTTTTTCAAAAATGTTTATAATATTCTGTGTGGCAGATTTTTGACGCATTATTATCAGTCTGTCATCCTGGTAAAGTCAACTAACTAACGTTGTCCCGGGGGAAAAAAAAAGTCAATTAACGACTGCTTCGACGTCACAATGGGTTGTTACGATGGAGCCAAGGTTTGCGAGCTGGTTGGTCTGTATATATTAAATTCATCTGAAACTGTTACCAACAGCGATATATATATATTAGGCTACCTAATAGATATATATATATATATATATATATATAGATATATATATATGTATATATAGATATATATATATGTATATATAGATATATATATATGTATATATAGATATATATATATATATATATAGATATATATATATATATACATATATATATATATATATATATATATATAGATATATATATATATATATATATATATATATATATATATATATATATATATATATATATATATAGATATATATATATATATGTATATATATATATATATATATATATATATATATATATATATATATATATATATATAGATATATATATATATATATATATATATATATATATATATATATATATATATATATATATATATATATATATATATATATATATATATATATATATATAGATATATATATATATATATATAGATATATATATATATATATATATAGATATATATATATATATATAGATATATATATATATATATATATATAGATATATATATATATATATATATATAGATATATATATATATATATAGATATATATATATCTATTAGGCTGGCGCAGATGTATTTTTAATACATCGCTGGATCTTCTTGACTCGATTCATGGGTTTTGCTTGTGACTCTGTTTTTATGACTAGGCAACTCATTCTATTATCTCCAAATAAGGGTACAGCTCTAAAACTCAGTTTTATGGTTCTGAGGCCGGCTGGTAGTCAATGCATTGCCAAGGCCACATTGGAGCCCTTTGTTACGGCTTAGGGTTTATTAGTGGAAATGAGGCAATTGCTTGAGCTATAAAACAGTGTACTGAGTACTATCTATGTTTCGAGTCAAGTTCTTTAACAAATTTTAAAATGAATAAAGTAACAAAAACTATAAAACACAAAAAACCACAGTCATCACCAAGTTCGCTAAACCTATCATTCACCAATATTCGTGGTCTTCGAAGTAACTTTTCTTTTGTTGAGTCTTATCTCTTGCAAAGTTCACCAAACCTACTTGCTCTTTGTGAGACTAATTTGAGTTCAGCTGTCTCATCTTGTGATTTTAGTGTTGATGGTTATCTTCCTTTAATTCGTAAAGATTCCAATAGCCACATACTTGGCGTAGGCATTTACATATGTAAGAATTCACCCATTTGTCGGCAAACTAGGTTTGAATCCACAGACTACTCTTTTATGTGCTTTCGTTTAGCACCACTTCACTCTATCACCTTTCTCTTTTTTTTTCATCGATCTCCTTCATCTCAAGACTGCACTCTTCTTGATGTTATTTCTGATTATATTGACCAAGCCCTCATTCTTTATCCATCAGCCAATATTGTTGTTGTCGGTGACTTTAATGTTCATCACACTGAATGGCTTGGCTCTAGTGTCAGTGACTCTGCAGGCATTAAGGCCCACAACTTTTGTCTTTCTTAATCCCTAACTCAAATAGTCAACTTTCCAACTCGCTTTCCAGACAACCCAAATCATTTACCTTCTCTACTCGACTTATGTCTTGTTTCTGATCCTAGTCAGTGCTCAGTTTTTTCACACTCACCCTTAGGTGCTTCTAATCATGGTTTGGTCTATCTAAAACTATTATCTCATTCTTCTTTACCATCAGAATCCCCCTATCATCGTACATTTTACAACTACCTTAAAGCTGACTGAGACTCTTTCCGTGATTTTCTTCGTGATGGCCCCTGGGTAGAAATCTTTCGTCTCCCTGTTGACAAATGTGCTTCTTACATAACTTCGTGGATTCAGGCTGGCATGGAATCCTTTATTCCCTCTCAACGATTCTAGGTCAAGCCTCACTCTTCTCCATGGTTTTCCTCACATTGTGCTGCTGTAATTGCCAATCGAAACCATTACTTCCATATCTATCAGCAAAACAATTCTCCAGAAAACAGACATCTGTTCACTATCGCCAGAAACCATTGTAAAAAGGTTTTGTCTGACGCCAAAGCTCGCTATTCTCAGGTCATAAAATCTCGTGGTTCATCACAAAAATTAGGCTCTTGTGACTTCTGGAGAATCTTTAATAGTATCAATAATAAGGGCAAGTCTGTAATTCCACCTTTTTTGTATGGTTCAGACTTTCTCACCTTACCTAAAGACAAAGCTGAATTGTTTGCCAAGAACTTTTCATCAATATCATCTCTTGATGCCACTAGTTGCGTTCTACCTGATATAGCCATCAAACAGGTTGATTCATTGCTCGACATTCGTATCACTCCAGCTTCTGTATCTAAAGTGATTTCCCGCTTAGACTCTTCTACAGCTTGCGGCCCGGACAACATACCTGTTATAGTCTTGCAGAAGTGTTCTCCGGAGCTGTCGTCTATCCTTTCAAAACTATTTAACAAGTGCTTATCAGAGTCTTGTTTTCCAGCCTGCTGGAAAGCAGCATCTGTTATCCCTATTTTTAAAAATTCTGGAGAGTGATCCGATTCGTCTAACTACCGTCCCATTAGTCTTCTTCCTATCATAAGCAAGGTTTTTAAATCTTTAATTAACAAACACTTAATCTCTTATCTCGAATCTTATAACCTACTTTCTGATCATCAGTATGGATTTAGATCTTCTCGTTCTACGGCTGATTTGCTAACAGTAATAACCGATAGGTTTTATCGCGCATTAGATAAAGGTGGAGAGGTCATCGCTCTTGACATTTCTAAAGCGTTTGATAAAGTTTGGCATGCTGGTCTTCTCCATAAGCTTTCTTCTTACAGTGTATCTTGGCCCTATACTCTTTTTAATTTACATTAACGATCTTCCAGATATTCTTTCATCTAAGGTGGCATTGTTCGCTGATGATACTACCATTTATTCTTGTCACCATAAGAAGCCAACTCCCTCTGATTGCTTGCAGGGGGCATTTGAGCTTGAAAAGGATCTCACTTCTGCTACAGCATGGGGCTCACAGTGAATGGTGAACTTTAATTCAGATAAAACTCAATTTTTTTCAGCCAATCGTTATCGCAATAATTTAGACCTTCCTATATTTATGAACGGTAATGTACTCGATGAGTCTCCTACCCTTCATCTTCTAGGATTAACTCTTACTTCTGATATTTCTTGGAAACCTTATATCAAATCCGTTGCAAAATTAGCATCTGCTAAAGTTGCTTCTTTTTATCGAGCTCGTCACTTTCTTACTCTGGATTCTATTCTCTATCTCTATAAATCTCAAATCCGGCCTTGTATGGAATACTGTTGCCATATCTGGGGCGGATCTTCTAATGATGCCCTTTCTCTTTTAGACAAGGTGCAAAAACGAATTGTAAAAATAGTTGGACCTGCTCTTGCAGCCAACCTTCAACTTCTGTCACATCGTCGTAATGTTGCTTCTCTTTCTCTTTTCTACAAATACTATAATGGGCACTGCTCGAAAGAGCTAGCGTCTCTTGTACCATCTACTAAAATTCATTCTTGTGTTACTCGTCATTCAATTAAGTCTCATCCTTTTTCTGTTACTGTTCCTAAGTGCTCCAAAAACTCTTATTCGTCTAGTTTTTTTCCTCGAACATCAGTTCTTTGGAATTCGCTTCCTTCATCTTGCTTTCCTGATTCATACAGTTTGCAATCTTTTAAGTCGTCTGTCAATCGTTATCTTGCTCTACAATCTTGATCTTTTCTCTTCCAGTAACTTCCAACACTAATTAGTGGTTGCTTGCAGCCTTGTTGGAAGCGAAGATAATTAAATATATATATATATATATATATATATATATATATATATATATATATATATATATATATATACATATATATATAAATATATATATATATATATATATATATATATATATATATATATATATATATATATATATATATATATAAATATTTATATATATGTATGTATAAATATAATAAGTTGATTTTAACAAAATGGCAGCGTATAACTACTTTTAAATATATTTTGATGTAAATATATATATATATATATATATATATATATATATATATATATATATATATATATATATATTTACATCAAAATATATTTAAAAGTAGTTATACGCTGCCTTTTTATTAAAATCAACTTTTATATTTATGTATATATATATATATATATATATATATATATATATATATATATATATATATATATTTATGTATATATATATATGTATATATATATATATATATATATATATATATATATATATATATATATATATATATATATATATATATATATATATATATATATATATATAAATATATATATGTATACATATTTATATATATATATTTATATATATATATTTATATATATATATATTTTTATAGATATAGATATATATTTATGTATATTTATTTATATATATTTATATATATTTATTTTTATATATTTATATATATATATATATATATATATATATATATATATATATATATATATATATATATAATTATATAAATATGTATATATATGTATATTTATTTATATATACACATATAAATATACTCATATTATATATACATATAAAGAAACTCATTTGTTATTCATTGTTGATATGTTTTTTTTTTTTGTTTATTTTTTAATTAAGTTTAAAAAGTCTACATCTCTTCAAACAATGTTCCGACGTGAGAGCTCTGCTGTGGATAATTCTGAGCATTTTCCAATGGAAAAGTTAGTTTTCAGTTGATAATCCAAAATTCTTTTATTTAGTTTTTATCTTTTGTTAATTTTTTTTTTTTTTTTAATTTTACAAAATGAAAATTGTTATTTTATTTTTCTAGTCTCTCAAAGAAGTTAAGTCTAGGGTTCCTTCAACCACCACTGCCGCCGAGAAAAAATACAGCAGTATCTCCTGTTGCAGAGGATTTTTTAACTGAGATTCCGAATAATATTCCATTACCCGCTCTTAAGAGGCTAGGATTAAGAGACGTAGAATCAGTGGTGAGTATTTTTATGTTAAGTGGTTATGTAGCTTATAAAATGTCTGTCAAATATAAATTTCTATTATTTGTTCAATTATTTTTGATTTTAGTCTGCTCCTAACCTAAATCACATTGAAGAAGAAGTTGGTCCGTCATTACCCCCTAAACGTTATTCTATATTAAAGGAAAATTCGTCAGATGGAAGTGTTTCAACCAACACATGCATCCAACATAGTACATCAAGCAACTCGCTTAACCAGCAGTTATCCGGTTTTGAGATAAATAGTGAACCGATAGGTAAAATTCTTGCACCTCAAATCGAAAAAAACGACACTAACAATTTAATTCCTCGAAAAACTCGATCACTAACTGCCTCCGTTAGCGATAATTTGAATGGCGATGAAGATGTTTTTGTAAATAACGTTTCTTTAGGTTCTCTGTATGAAGAAATAAAAACCGAACTTTTTATTAAAAATAGACATCGACATTTGTCGTCTAAGTCAGATAAAACCTATAATGAGGTTTCTAAGGCTTTTACAAGTGACGACTTACCTTGTACTGCCACTAGTGATAAACCAGTTTCACCCTTTAGAGTTCAAAATTCCAAAACCATTTCTAATGATATCTTAAATACACCTCCATTACCTGCAAAATTATCAAAAACGCGAAATGGAGATGGTTTAACTTTTTTATAATTAAATCTAAAAGTTTCTTTTCAATGTTTCTTGTTTCTAATTTTTTTTACTTTTTTTATGTAATATTTTCTTGTTTTTGTTGTCTTTCTTCGTGAATATTTAGCTTTTTTACTAATTTATTTCTCGTTACAAAAATTTTGATAGAATTTATTTTTGATATAAATTTTTATATTATTTTTATAAGTATTTTTTTCAAAATGTTTTTTATATTTTTCAAATTAGCTACATAAGCTTCATTTATTTTTGCATGCTTGTTTTTTTTATGAAGTATTTTAATATTTTTTTACAGTTGTATATATTGATTGTAGATAATTTAAATATTTCTATTTGTTGTTTTTACTCGTTGTTCTTGTTTGGTTTCTATTCGTTGTTCTTTTTCGGTTTCTATTTGTTAATCTTGTTCGATTATTTCTACTCGTTGTTCTTGTTCGATACGGCTTCACAAGTGGGAGGATATTAATATGTTTATGTTATCAAAACTATTATTAAACGTGTTTACGACAATGTTTTATACTTGCTGTATACCTATGGGAGAGTATGCACCCATGATCCTAAAAATCTATCAGGTCAACTTACTGAATATATATTTTTATTTTGATGTCTAAAATAACAGTACATAATAGCAAATTGTATACCTTATTATAATTCAATTATCATTTTTTTACCAGAATATTTTAAGTAGATTTAAAATTATAAAAACTAAGAACGCTCAATTGGGATCATGGGTGCATACCAGTATGCGCCTTTGATCCTATGTATGTATACTTGATTCAAGATCAAATTTATACCATGAATGTTTAAGAATAAAGTCATCAAAACAATGTCTATAATAAAATAGAATAAAATGTTTCATCCACTCTAAAAATGTTGCAACATTCATTCAACTAGATGAGTTTGCAACCCCAACACATCCAGGTGGAGCACCATTTATCATACTTCCTTTGAAATGAACTCTTGGAAAAATAAAAAATGGAGGGATTGAGTTTCCTTTTGCATTAACTGCTCAACAAACTGTTACCAATGTCCCTCTTTCTGCTGAAGTTATCTTTCCAATTTTTTTTTTTTTTCCTTTTTAGCAATTACTTTAACTGGTTTTTAAACAGTTGTGAGACCTGTCTCATCAACATTATATATGTTTTGTGGCTGAAACTTGTTTCGTAGACGAACATCTTTTAGATTGGTGAAAAATTCTCCAACTGTATAACAGTTAAAAGCAGTTGCTCGTGCCATACTAGTAGCTTCTGGATTTTGTAAAGATAACTCATTCCTACGTAACATAACACCACGAAGCCACTGTTTCACAGCGGTTTGTAAACTTTTCCACGATTTAGGAATGCGCTTAGAAAGAGTCTTTGCAAATTCATAGGCAAGTTTTCGTGTTGTTTTGGTTGAAAATCCATAGTGAAGTTTTGAGGCCCTTAAAAGATAATCTGATAAAGATGTTTCTTCTTTGTTGGTAAAGATTTGCATGGTAATGAAGTTAGGTTTGAAGGCTGTATTTGGATTTAATTGACATTACCACTATTAAGAATTGCATTAACAGCTACTCGCATTTCATTCTCATTAACTTTACTTCTAGGTGGTCTATCGGTTTTTCTTTTTTTATGATACACCATATTATTTAAAAACTTTGGCATATAAAATTCATATATATTGAATACTCTACAATTATATTATATAAACGTTTTTGGAGAACAAAAAAAATACAAATTAGTATAAAATCTTTATTTTAAGGCTTTATTTTAAAAGAAAAATATATATTTAAAAACAATATGACGTATTCTACATGTTAAAAGTTAAACATTTTGTGTGTGTGTGTGTGTGTGTGTGTGTGTGTATGCACCTTTGATCATAGGATCAAAGGTGCATAAACGCATTAGGATCAAGGGTGCTAACCCGCTCCATTTTTACAAAAATTCTTTTTTTGTCATATTAGATGCTTCTATAGCTTACCAAAAGAAACTATACAAGAGGTAAATAGTTTAGGTACAAAATGACATAAGCATAATTATTCAACTTAAAAAAATAATAAAGATGTGAGATTCCTTGTAAAAGTGAAAAAATTACTTTTACTAGTTGTCAAAATCAAACTATTTAGAAATAAATTTAATAGTGGTCTATTCTCTAACCAAAACACAATTAATTTTGATGATACAATATTTATAACACACTCGTTATCAGCCCTCTTTAATAAGTTATGTAAGTGTGGAAATAACGCTATAGGATCAAAGGTGCTTACGGATCAAGGGTGCAAGTTCTCCCCTATACATATTTAGCTTTTAGAGGGCACAAGAGTAAAAGGCACAACATATATATATATATATATAAATATATATATATATATATATATATATATATATATATATATATATATATATATATATATATATATATATATATATATATATATATTACTTTTTTCCTGAACCTAACATGCCGAAGACCAAAACGTTGGTACATATTTTGTGTAATGTTATTTTTAAGTAAACATTAATTTTACAAATTCATATCTTTTGAAAAATAGTTTAATAAAGTATATAGTAAATATCTATTTTTACGATTAATTATTAATTTAAAAAATTGAAATCCTTTAATATCAAAGTAAGATAAAATAAGACATGCTTTTTTTTATACTCAATTTATACTCAAAAATACTCAACTGACTGCAAATCAGTATGTTGCAATTGTTTAAGCAAGCGGTTGGCAAGCTGTCAAAGATTTGGCAATTGAAGATGTCATTCATTGACAGAAAGTCGATGCAATTCAGTCAAAGTATCTAATCCAGCTTTGAATTCAAAGAAAGTTTAGGACATATTAGTTATTAATATTATAATATTTTATTTGAAACCGCTATTTTCCTTTGTTTTGTAAAATGAATGTCATATAAAACTATTAGTTTGTTCATATTTTTGTTTTCAGACTTCTGAGCTGAGCAATTTCCTAGGGAAAATTATACTATGTTTAGAAAAGCAAATACTACAATGTGCAATTATGAAAGCAAACTTACAAAACGAAGCATTGGTAACATGTTAATAATAAAAACAACTGATATAATTAATAACAATAACTGACTTGCTGATTTCATCAATATTCTGTTGTTTTTTTTTAGTTTTTTTTTGTGAACTTGGTTTTTATTAAATTAAAGATAATATTCAAGATTTACTTTTAGATCAGTTACACCTGTTTTAAATAATGATTTACTAATACACACACCTGTTTTAAATCGTATTGGAATACCCTAAAGGATATTTCTATTAAATATCCTTTAACAACTGTAAAGGGTAATCCAACAAAACTTCAAACAGAATTGAATAGGATTACTGTATATATAAGACTATAAAATGTTGCTCATTTGATGTCTTCTAAGTCACTGAATAAATAATATCATATAGTTTTTTATGTACAAAAATCCTACTCAATTGATTAGGAATTCTGTACATATAAAACTAAAGGATATTGTTCATTCGGTATCTTGTAGGATAAGACTCCTATAAGATTTTGGAGCAGGGTTGTATAGGAATCCTTACCTAAAGAAATTACTTTAGATTGTATCTTATAAAAATAAATTATCGTTATACTATAAAAAATCCTGTTCCAATTTCTTATAGAAATATTCTATATCCTTTTTATAGGATATCCTATACGACTTTTTTGATTAGAGTTAGCGACAACATTTATTTGTTTCAGTTATTCGTTACAAAGTAACTAAGGTTTTGCAGAAACTTCAAATGAATTTTTCCGAGACCACCAAAGATGGAAGCAATGTGTATTATTCTGGTTAATCTTCGAGACAATGGGTTTGAGAATAGTCTTGCCAATGCCACTGCAATTGCAGAAGAGCTTGAAATTTCCTTTTGTATTCTCCACAAAGCGACAACGTTGAGCTAAACAACTGTTTGAATATAAAATGCCTGAAGAACAAATTGCAGGTGCAAAATTATGATTTTTAATGTTGGCAGACTTCAACATGAAAATCAGCAAATAATTTTTACCAAACGAAAACTTACTCAAATGATGTCATAATTTTATTTTCAGGAAAATATTTTCACAAGAACCAGTAAGTTGCTTTGACGGATTTTTTATCCAATTTGTCAGACATAGATACAACAGAATTAGCTGTTTGCATAAATAGCTAGTTAGCTGCAAATATCTATTTGGTTCAGCAAGAAGACGTTAGATCTCCATTTAATGTGTTAGTTTTAATTAAGCAAAATGATTCGGCTGATATCTTTTTAAATGTCTTTTTGCTTATAAAATAATACTAACAACTCCAAATTGAAGTCAAAACATGTTTGAGTTTGATTTAAGTCAATAACGTTTACTCGGTTTGGGTTTGCTGGCTATTGAGTGAGAAGTTTACTCGGTTTGGGTTTGCTGGCTATTGAGTGAAAAGAACAATTGAACTTTACTTCATTATTAGAAAAATTATTTAGTAAAAAATGTCTTGTCAAATCTGGAAGCTGGGGCCAATCGAATCTAGCCTTGACTATTTCCAACTACTTGGAGAAGTTGTTGCTAATAAAAAGCTGTTCGGCAATATCATTCAAAAGGCAATCAGCGGACTTGACAATGTTCTGATTTTGGAAATTCCAATGATGGTATTGTATCTCCTCTTTAATTCTTCAATCAAACTTTAATTCACCTGTACCATTCTTTTTTTTTTATTGGCATCTAAACTTTGCTAATGCGGTTGGGGAAGTATTAACAAAATTAAATTAAATGTTAAATTAGAACCAATTTATCGCCAACAGAAATATGTTAAAAAACTGAAATTTTAAACACCGTTTTAATCAGGCCTCTTTTAGTTAAATTTAATATTCTTAATACGCAGTGCTTTAAAAATAAAACGCAGTAAAAAAGAGAGTTCATTTTCTTATTTCAAAACATCGTAAAAATCCATCCATAATTCCTAAAGACTTAATGTTTTTTTGAAGGACGGGAAATTTATTTCTCTACAATTATCATGCAAATAACAAGTTCATATCTAGTTACTTTTTTTAAATGAATTTTTTTTGAAGGAATACAGAAAACATACCTGAAAAGATTGTAAAAAAAAAAAATTTTTTTATTAAACCTTAAAGTAAA